GCCGATGCCGAGGATGTGGAAGGGTGCTGCTTACTGGCTTGCTCCTCAAGGCTTGCTCAGTCTGCTTTTTTCTTTCTTTCTTTCTTTTTCTTTTTTCCTTTTTTCTTTTTTTTTTTTTTTTTTTTGGTTTTGGTTTTGGTTTTTTGAGACAGGATTTCTCTGTGTAGTTTTGGTACCTGTCCTGGATCTCATTCTGTAGACCAGGCTGGCCTCGAACTCACAGAGATCCACCTGGCTCTGCCTCCTGAGTGCTGGGATTAAAGGCGTGCACCACCGCCGCCAGGCTCAGCCTGCTTTCTTATAGAACCCAGGACTACCAGCCCAGGAATGGCATCATTAATCATGGACTGGGTCCTCTGCAATTGATCACTAATTACGAAAATGCCCTATAGGCTTGCCTGCAGCCAGATCTTATGGTGGTATTTTCTTAATTGAGGCTCCCTCCTCTCAGATGACTTTAGCTTGTGTCAAGTTGACATGAAACCAGCCAGCACAGGGTTCTTGGTGTGCGGTGCACATCAGCACTGTGCATGGGCCACAGGGAAGGCTCCGGACTCCAGTCATCTCTGGAATGCTCTGACTCCCAATTCTCACCCTCCCTGTGGCCCCCAGCCCCCTGGTACTTCTCACCCCATTGAGACAGAGAAGTTGAGTAGCTGGGCACGGTGGAGCACGCCTATAACCCCAGCTGAGGCAGACTCCCTCAATTCAGTCTCTGCCTGGACTACAGAGGGGAGTAGTCTCAAAATATGGGGAGGAAGCTGGCAAGATGAGCCAACCATTAAAGGCCCTGGCTGCTCTTCCAGAGAACCTGCATTTGAGTCTCACACCCACATGGCAGCTCACAGCAGTATGCTGTTCTAGGGGACCTAATGCCCTTTTCTGGCCTCTGTGGGTACCAGGCACACAAGTGGTGCTTAGACATTCATGAAGGTAAAATATTCATATACATAAAATAATTTTTAAAATATATTTAAAACTGGGCGGCAATGGTCACGCCTTTAATCCCAGTGCTGGGGAGACAGAGGCAGGCAGATCTCTGAGTTTGAGGCCAGCCTGGCCTATAAAGTGAGTTCCAGAACAGCCAGGGGTACACAGAGAAACCCTGTCTCAAAAAAAATCAGATCGATAGATAGATAGATAAATTTAAAAGGGAGGGAGCAAGAGGGTTCATCCCATAGAGTCGCTTGCTGCTGCCAAGCTGATGACCTGAGTTCAATCCCTGGGACCCACATAGTAGAAGAGAGAATTGACTCCAAGGCCAAGCAGGTGGAACAAACCTTTAATTTTAGCAAAGGCAAAGGCAGGTGGATCTCTGTGGGGATTTGCTATGGAGTACATAGTGAATTCCAGGCCATCCATGGCTAGCTACACAGTGAGACCCTGTCTCAAAAGTGGGGGGGAAAGTGACTTCATAAAGTTGCCCTCTGACCTCCACAAGTAGACCTCAGCAATATGTCCCCAGCGATGATGATGATGATGATGATGATGATGTTGATGACGACACATTTATTTTTAAAAAAGAAAAAGCAAGCATTGTAACAAACACCTTTAATCTTACCACTTGAAAGGTGGGGGTAGGAGGATCAGGGATTCAAGGCCAGCCTTCGCTATATAGGAATTTGGGGGCCAGCCTGGGCTATGTAGGGCACTACTCAGAATCAAAAATTAAGCCTGATCCTTGAGTCTGAGAAAGCCTGAGCCGCCTCCTGAGGCTTCTTTAGCCAGCTGTGGGGACTCAGGGACTTTAGCCCAGGTCAGTAGGGGCCGGGGCTCCTGTACCACTGTCTCCACAGCTGCCACTGTGGTCCCACACAGCTCCCGTTTCCCTGTGGACTCACCACTGTCATCTCAGCGGCCATGCAGCCACTTTATGCACTGGGGTGGGGGGTGGGGGGTGCTCCAAGAGTTTCCTCGCCACAGGCAGGGCCAGCCCCACTTCCTGCGCAGCAGCCCGCTGTGGCTCCTCAGGCAGCCCTGCTGGCTGGGCAACTGACAGGTGGCTTCCTCTGAGGATGGATGCTGGCATCCATCACACCCCATCCTAGGCCTGGGGACTCAGGCCTTCCTGGCCCTCCCACTTATGTCCTTGCAGAGGGCGGCTGCTGCATGCCAGCCAGGCCCTGCACTTCACACTGAGTGCCCCATGGCAGCAGGGCAGCCAGAGGAGCAGGCAGAGTGCTAGGTGAGACTCCCGTGGTGGCAGGGAACCAAACAGGGAGGAGCAGAGGGATGAAGAGGAGCAGCCAGGGAGGCAGGCATGCCTCCACTCCCATCTGCATCTTTCCTGGCCACACCCAGAACTTTCTCAGCCTTTTTCTAGTCTGCCTCCCCTACCAGGCCAGCCCCACCCCAGTCTGTAGAGCTTCCTGATGCCTGTTTCTGGCTCTCCTTGGTCCTCAGAGTCTAATGCCAAGAAGGGCAGATGCACCCGACGCAGGAAGTACTTGGATTGTGTAGAATGGCACACAGAAACTGCTCCTGAGGCTGATAATCCCTGGGGCTGAGAAGGGAGTGGGGAACCAACTGTCCCACTGCCCACACAGATAGAAGGGGTCCCAGAGCTCAAAGGGGACCTGACTTCACAGTCACCCACCCAGGCCAATACCTAGGATGCCCAACCTGGCCACTGCCCTGCCCTAAAGCTCCAGATGATTCAGAGAGGGCTTCCCAGGTATGACCTGGTCATCAATGTCTCTGCAGCTGTTTACCACTGGAGGTTAAGGTGACCCTCCTCCTCCAGAACTCAGTGTCCCAGAAGCTTCCAACAGCATCCTGCCAAAAAATCAGCCATGTACCTCAGCACAAGGCCCAGCCTGCCTGCCAGATGGGCTCTTGACACTAAATTTTCAGGTCTCTATTGTGGCCAGCTGTCACTGGGTGATGATTACTCCTTCCCAGCCTTGCTTGGTCCAGCTAAGTCAGACTCCAAGCTGGACAAAGGTGGGGACAATGACCACATCTGTTTTCACTTACTTTTTCTGAGACTTTTCTTGTAGCCTAGGCTGGTCTTGAACTTGTTATGTGGCCGAGGATGGCCTTGATGATCCCCTTGCCTCCACCTCCGGAGTGCTGGAGTCTCGGTTGTATTGGGTTCTGGTGCCTGCCATGCTAGGCAAGCACTACCAGATGAGCCACACCCACTTTTTCTCATTTTGAGCTCCCTAGGTGACTCCTGCAGGTTGTTGGCTCAGAGAGCAACTGGGAAATACTCCAGGGCTCTCATCTCCGAGCTGTGGCGCCCTAGGGACAGGGGTAGTTTTGGTACTCCTAACATCAGAGGACAGTGCTACTGGTGGAGGTTCGGGGAGCAGCTCAGCCACACCTGGGGGAGGGGGTGGGTGGTGGAGAGAGAAGCCGTAGTCCAGAGGACTCAGACCCAAGTTCTCAGAGGCCATGTGGAGGAGCCCCCATCTCCATCACCCTGTATCCTCTCTGTCACCGCCTCCCCCCCTACACACACACACACACACACACACACACACACACACACACCAGAATGACTGGTTTTCCCTCCCTAAGGACAACTCAGATGTTCAGTCCAGAAGCTCTATTTGCTGGGTGGCCTGTGACTTCCCTAAGCCAAGGTTCCCACATTGAGGATAAGTGACATCTACCCTGGAGGGGTGTCACAGGCATGTGGTGATATCAAGGCCTCTTGACTTGTTGGCACCGGATCAGTACCAGTAGGAAAGAACAAACCCAAATTCTGGGGAAATTTGGAAGCTGGGAGACAGGCTGACCTCCACCAGAACCTGAATTTGGCCAACCCAGGTCCTTTACCATCCAGAACAGGAATTCAAGGACTCTTGCTGCTATCCCCAGGGGGCTCCCATATGTCCTTTGCTACCATGAGAGGAGATAGTTTGGAGTAACCCTGCCACATTGCTGCAGAGGGCAAAACCTGAACATAGAGCCATTGGCAGCTCAGGAAGTAGCCTGTTGGGAGGGGACATAACCTTGGCTCTTGGGAGGTACCAGGGATCCCTTGAGAAAGTTGGGGATGGAGGAGGCAAATGTTCATCAAATACTCGCACACATGTGAAAGCATCCCCTCCCTGCCCTGGGTGAAGGAACAGGGTCGGGGGACTGATGTGAGATGCTGTGCTTTGAAGTTGGGGACCAGAGCAAATGCCCTGCCCCAGGTGCTAAGCACTTTCTGCTCGTCCTGGTTCATGCCTGCAGACGGGCATGGCAGGCAGGAGCATAATGCTTGCCCAGGAATGCCCAGCTCACACCAAGACCTCCTGGGGGTTCAAGCTGGGGCAGCTCCCATCTTGTCCGAGGAAGGTGGGCGGTGACTATCCTGCCCACCCGCCCACTTCTGTTGGAATTCTGAAGAATGTATGATCCATTTCCTATCACTTTGGCTCGAACAAAGCCAGGGCCTGAAACTTCACTACATTCTTTTTTAGTGATATATCAAAGTAGGAAGATGAATACTTGTGTAGCCACCACAGGGATTCCACTCTCCTGTCCTGGACTCAGTCTCCCCTTGTAATCCCTGGGAAAATAGCACCGGGTGTTGGAGACCTGGAGCTTGTAGAGTGGGCATGGCACGCGACAGGCTTGTGACAAAGAATTGAGCTAGGCAGCTGAGTGGGGCTTTGAGGAGGGCCTCCTGAGAAAGCCATTAAGAGACAGGCCTGGAAGCCACGCCTGGGGTTGGAAGTGTGTGGGTGTGTGACTCAGTAGTGCACATTTGCTGGGCTTGTGGAGGAGGGGAAATGGGGAAGCCATGTCGTATCTCTGGCACCGAAAACATAAAAACAAAGAAGACTGGGCATTGGCCCATGTTTGTGATCCCAACACTTGGGAGACAGAGGCCAGAGGGTCAGGGGTTCAAGGGCAGACTGGGTGGGCTGCCAGAGACCCTATCTCAAAGCATACAAAGAAAACATGATGCTAGCTAGCCTTAGGGGTAGGGAGTCGGGAGGCGGCAGCCCGAGTCCTCTTAGCCTGCACCTTCAGGTCCTCTGCCAGCTGTGGCGGACGGAGGCACGTGGCCAGTCAAAATGCCAGAACCCAGCAGCGGGGAAGCCCGCGGGTCACCATGCCACCTGAACCTCCCAACCGCAGCGACGAGCTGGGGGGCGTTACTTCTACGTCTCTGCAAGAGAGGAGGAGCCCGGTGCCCCTTTCCCTCTACAGCACCGGGGACAGCCAGCCGGGTGCCCAAACTTTCCCGGGTACAGGGAGCGCGGCGGGGGTGGGGGAGGCGGGCTGGGAGGCGCGGCGGCCGGGGTTGTGACAGCTCCCAGGGCGGGCTGCGGGGCGGAGCGGCCTGGGCGGCGCCGCCCTCCAGGTGCCGGGCGGGGGCCGAGGCCAGCGCCGCTGCGGGGAGAGCAGGCCGGGCCATGACCCCCGCGGCCCGCGGCTGCAGGCGTGTCGCCTGGTGTCCCGCAAGGCCGCCAGCGTCCGCGCCCAGCGCGCCCCAGAAAGAGGTGAGTGCGCGCGCGCCGTGCGCGCCACGGCGGACGCACCGGGACATGGGAGGGACCCAGGACAGGGGACCCCAGGGCCGTGGAGACCAGGACCGTGGGGATCCCGAGGTGGGGTGGGAAGCCGGGACGGTGGAGAGATTAGGGTTGCAGAACCCGGGAGGGTAGGTATCCCAGGGTGGGGTGGAGACGCCGGGGGAGGGGCTGTGGAGACCCCCAGGTGGTGGGGACTCGAGAGTGATTGGGGGACCCTTTGGCCCCAGGCGTCCCACAACTTCCCGCAGACTTCGCTGCCCAGCTCGGCTCCTTTTGGCCGCGTGCCTGGCATTGGGCGGGGGCGTGTCCCGCGCGTGGCAGCCTCAGGCCCCTCTATGCACCGGGCTTGGCTGTCAAGTTGCCAAGCAGTCGGGCGAGGTGGGGGCAGGAGGCCTCGGGAGGAACCGCTTCCCTCCACCAAGTGTTTCGAATGCATTATTGATGAGCTGCCTCGCTTAGGGGCGCCCAGCACATCAAAGCAGCTCCGTGAGACCGCAAAGGGCGACCCGCGCAAAGCAGGCACTTCTCCTGGCAGGGCTGGCCTGGGCAGATCTGGGGAGGTGCTTATTTAAAAGAGGACCCGCAGCTTCCCTGGGGGACCCTGAAGGCAGGAGGGACTTCTGGCCTTTGCCAAGAGAACAGTGTAGCAGCATTGTAGAAGTCATTCCCGAGAGAGTATAGAAATGCCAGAACACACCCTGTTTTACAGATGAGGAAACTGAGTCCCAGGGGGCTTCTCCCGAGTGGCAAACTCTGATGTCTCTCTCCAGCCTGAGACACTTCCAGGAGGCCCTGTCTTGGGTTGTGTTACCAGCTAAGAGAACCCCTTACCTGTCCAGACCCCTTTCCTACCCAGGCCACAATGTAGACTGGTGCTGCCTAGGCCATACCCACCTCCGGTCCTGTCCTGGTCCCCTCCCCTGGGTCCAGGTCCTCTGCACAGGAGAGAGGCGGTGTATTTATGGAAAGACTTAATCCCTCCACCAGCCCCAAGGCCTGGAAAGCTGTGTCTAATCTGTCCCTGGAAGGCCTCAGCTGGTGGGCACGCACCAGGCAGGAGTGTGCGTCCCTTAGGGAGGTGTAGGTCACTCGGGAGACTCCTCGTCCTCCTCCTGGGCGGAGGACGCTGAGATGTCAGTGCTTAGCCAGCAGTCGGCCTGTGCCAGATCTGTGCTGGCTGTTTTCACCCTCACACCAGCCCTCTAACCAAAGCCTCTTCTTGTCCCCATTTTAAAGGCAGGAAACTGAGGCAAGGAGGTAGATAAGACCAAGTGTTAGCCCTGAGGCAGCAGGGAACGGCTCTCATCCTGGGGTGGGAAAGCTAGGCCAGACCTGTAGAATCATGGGAAATAAACCCACCATAGAGACTGATGGAGGATAGCCCACTCAAAAGAAACCCATCATTCTCCAGGCCCCACACAGCCTTGGTTTCCTGATAGTAGCCACTAAGGTCATAGTACCCATCTCTCCTATGTCCCTGTGTTCAATCTTTCAGAAAAAAAAATTTTTTTTTCAATTTATTTTCATGTGTACGAATGTTTTGCTTGCACGTCTGTCTGCCCCATATACATGCCTAGTGCCCTTGGAGGGCACTGGATCCCGTAGAGCTGGAGTTACAGATGGTTGTGAGCTACCATGGGATGCTGGGAACAGAATCCAGGTCCTTTGCAAGAAAAATAAATGCTCCTAACCACACCCCATCCCACCCTCCATGTTCAATCTTGACTGCTACAGAAACCGTGAGGACACTCTCTTGCACTGTAGGCTTTATTGTTTAGCAGATGTTTTTAATGGTATGAAGAGAGAGTAGGGCATTAAGTACCACAAAGTGGCCCAGAGCAGGCAGCAGGCTGGTGAGAAGCTGGGGCTAGCCCTAGGTGGGGTCTTGGTGGCTTTTGGCCTCTCTAGTTTCCTTGAGACTTTCAGGTTGGCAGGCTGGCCTTGGCGGGGAGGTACCTCAGCCAGCATCTGTTCTCAGCATGGTGCCTGGGCTGGAATTGAAAGAATTCTAATCCTGTCACACAAAGTGACCTTCCTAAGCAAGGAAGAAACCCAGATGTGAGTGTGCCCATGGTGCTTGAAGCAGGAAACTGCTCTGCTGTGTGTGGGAGCTTGGGAAACAGCTGAGGGACCAGGTTGCCCTGCCCAGCCTCCTCCAGCCTCTCAGGTAGCCAATGGTCTGACTGCTCCTGCACAGCCTGGTCCTTAAAGGAGGGCTTTGTTAAGGAGGTGAGGCACAGTGCCACTCAGGCTGTCTTGGCAGGGTAATTCTCATCTCATGTGGGAGGTGACTGGGCAGAGACCATGGCCAGGGGGGCTCCCAGTCCGACTGCCCACTTACTATTCATTCTTCCACTCAAGACAGCTGATGTCGGAATCAGGGCTATGGCTAAAGTAGCCAAGGTTCCAAAGGAGAAAGTGAAGAGGCCCAGCTCCGGCCAGTTGCTGGTCCCCACTGAACCACATGGGGGACCCAGGCATCCTGCCTTCAGCCTGGGGCCTGTCACTCCATCCCTCAGCAGCTCTAGGTTTGTGTTGCCCCGGCGGAGCCCAGTCCCCCCAGACGCAGGCTGGAGCCTGCCTTCTGGGAGCAGGTGCACACCACAATGACTTCTTTTTCCTGGGTTGCAAGCCTGTGAAAGCCAGGTGGCGAAGTCACTCCTGATGGACACTGGTCCACGGAAGACCTCATTGCCCACTTTGTGTCTCTTCCCCCGCCTCCTGCTTGTATTGATCAATTGAGTTCTAAGGAAGGAGTGGCAGGAAGGTCAGGAGAACATGGGTGGGAGCTGTTCTGATTCTTCACGGACTAGGGACACACGGACTAGCCTGTTAGAGTTCAATCCATTCCAGTAATCTGTACTGAGAAGACAGGGGGCTGGACTGTGGCTCAGTGGTACAGTGGACATGCCTGCTGTGCACGAGGTCCTGGGTTCTATCCCCAGCACCACAATGAATGAATGAAGTAGACAATGAAGTAGAATGTGGGCACTGACTAGAACACTTGAGAAGTCAGCAGAGAAGGTTACAGATGGGAGATTATGTGCCGTGGTGGGTTTCATCTGCCCCACAGCCTGCGGGTCCTCTATCCCTGAGGCCGACCACTGTCCTGTGGCCCCTGAAAGGAGAGACTGGAGTGTTGCTTCCACACCCTCAATCCTGACCAACCTCACCTGAACTTTCCTGGACAGCAACCCTCTGCCCCTGGCACACACTGTGCCCAGATGTGGTCAGCAGGCACTGTGACCTCGTAGCTGGCTTGTTCCATCACTGCTTCCTGTTGTGTGCCCGCCCAGCTGGCCAAGTGGGGGCCTGGCTACATATGGCCGGGACAGTGACATCCTCGTCCTTCTCTGAGTGTTCCCCTCTCTTCACAGGCCTGCGGAGGCGACGCCATGGGGCTGAAGCCCTCCTGTCTGAAAGGTAAGACAGAGTGGGGGTGCTGGGGCAAGGGGACTGGGGGAGCAGGGAAGGAGGAGCTGGGCTGGAGATAGTGTGGGATGACCCAGAGGCCTGGGATGCTGGTCCAGACTGATGGGTCCCCGTCTGTAAAGGCAAACCATATATACAGTAGGTACTCTATAAATGTTTACTCTGCCTCTGTGAGCCCCCTCCAGACCTTCCTTCACCAGAGGTTGGTACCCAAAGGCTTCAACTTTCTCCTCAGAGGGGAAGTCCCAGAAAAAGAGGGTATCTGGGAAAGGGGAAGGAAGCCTGAGTAAGAAGCCAGGCATAGCTTGGGGAATTGCTTCCCAGGACACCCTGGATACCTGCCCTCACCCAGGCAAGAGGTCAGCTTGGCTAGTACTGAGAGAGAGAAAAAGGCCATCAAAAAGTTCTAGAAGGTGGGGGGCTGGAGAGATGGCTCAGCAGTTAAGAGCACAGACTGCTCTTCCAGAGGACCCGGGTTCAATTCCCAGCACCCACGTGGCAGCTAAAAACTGTCTCTAACTCCAAGATCTGACACCCTCACGTAGATATATCTGGAGGCAAAACACAAATGCAAATAAAATAAAAATAAATAATTTTTTTTTAAAAAAGTTCTAGAAGGGTGCAGAATTAGTGAGTGGTATTGGTGGAGGCAGCACAGACCTCTTCTGATATCCAGAGGGAACCTGAGGCATTATGGCCCCTGTGGGAGACACCTGAAACCTTCTGATGTCCCCCTGTGACACAGGCGTGGTCCCCACCCTCATCTTCCAGCCTTGAGGTCCAGACCTGCCCTGGACAGCCCTGCAAGGTAACAGAGGCCCACCCCCAACTGCTTGTCGGCATCCAGCTTGCTGTGACTCCATCCGTCTCCACAGCTCTCCCAGGCTGCAGGAGCCATTCCAGTCTTAGTTCTCACTGCCTAGGGTGTTTCCTTTCCTTTTCTTTTCTTCTTTGTTGCTGTTGTTTTTTTGAGACAGGGTTTTCTGTGTAACAGTCCTGGCTGTCCTGGAACTCACTCTGTAGACCAGGCTGGCCTCGAACTCACAGAGATCCACCTGCCTCTGCCTTCCAAGTGCTGGGATTAAAGGCGTGCACCACAACACCCAGCCCAGTGTGTTTTTCTTGATGGCCACTGCCAAACACGTACTCACTACCCCACATGCTGAACCACTAGCCTGAACTCTGCTCCCTGCCCACCCCAGGCTCCCCTCCTCAGCCTTCTCATGCACTTCTGCCCTCCAAGATCAGCCTGCTCAGAGTCTCGTGTTCCCCAACCTGCTCAAAGCTCTGGAGACCTGAACAACGGCCTTGATTTCCTTGTTCATAAAGTGGGGTCATGACATGGCATGGCTGTGGTGGTCAGGAGTGCCAGGCTCCCAGGGCTCAGGCTGCCCCTGGAGTGCTACTCCTGTGATTATCTCATCCCCATACCCTTCTGTTTCCTGGGCTTTCCAGCCCCTACTCCGAGGTCTTAGGAGACTTGAGGTCTCTGGGTACAGCTAAGGCATTGATTGCAGTTCACATGAACAAGATGAACTTCCAGGAAGACAGATAGAACCTTCCCCCCAGGAGAAATGGAAAGGCTGGGAAGGAGTGGGTGGATGTCTCCTGAGCTGCTTCTTACTTTTTGTGGGGGATGGAGGGGGAGCAGATATAGGACAGCATCTGATTGGCCCAACTGAGGTCTTGCACCTTGGCCTGGGAGGGTGGGGCATCTTGACTGTCGGCTCCACCAGAACTTCTAGCAAGGGGGGCACTGTGCAGCTTGCAGGATGGCCCAGATGTTGGAGGAGCAGAGTCAGCCCTCACCACACTCCAGAGCTGGCTCTCTCTAAGACCCCAGGCTCCCAGGAGCAGGTGAATGAGTGCCCATGTGTGGGAGTGGCTGAACGTGGGGCAGCTGGTGGCAGGGTGGTTAAAGCCTGAGTGGGCCCTTCTCTTGCTGTGGCCATGAGTCTTAGCCTCATCGTGGCTGTGGCTCCTCTGTCTCTGTAGCTGTGAATTCACGTGTCTCTACTGTGTCTGTGGGTCCTCCTAGTGGCCCGCACAAAGCATCTCTGTGATGTCACTTTTCTGTAACCATGTAGAATGGACAGTTTACCTGGTGAGTAGTGAGTGCACAGTTTGGGGATATACCAGTGAGTGCACAGTTTATGGATATACCAGTGAGTGCACAGTTTGGGGATATGCCAGTGAGTGCACAGTTTGGGGATATACCAGTGAGTGCACAGTTTGGGGATATACCAGTGAGTGCACAGTTTATGGATATACCAGTGAGTGCACAGTTTGGGAATATACCAGTGAGTGCACAGTTTATGGATATACCAGTGAGTGCACAGTTTGGGGATATACCAGTGAGTGCACAGTTTGGGGATATACCAGTGAGTGCACAGTTTGGGGATATACCAGTGAGTGCACAGTTTATGGATATACCAGTGAGTGCACAGTTTATGGATATACCAGTGAGTGCACAGTTTGGGGATATACCAGTGAGTGCACAGTTTATGGATATACCAGTGAGTGCACAGTTTGGGGATATACCAGTGAGTGCACAGTTTGGGGATATACCAGTGAGTGCACAGTTTGGGAATATACCAGTGAGTGCACAGTTTATGGATATACCAGTGAGTGCACAGTTTATGGATATACCAGTGAGTTCACAGTTTGGGGATATGCCAGTGAGTGCACAGTTTATGGATATACCAGTGAGTGCACAGTTTGGGGATATACCAGTGAGTGCACAGTTTGGGGATATACCAGTGAGTGCACAGTTTATGGATATACCAGTGAGTGCACAGTTTGGGAATATACCAGTGAGTGCACAGTTTATGGATATACCAGTGAGTGCACAGTTTGGGGATATACCAGTGAGTGCACAGTTTGGGGATATACCAGTGAGTGCACAGTTTGGGGATATACCAGTGAGTGCACAGTTTGGGGATATACCAGTGAGTGCACAGTTTATGGATATACCAGTGAGTGCACAGTTTGGGGATATACCAGTGAGTGCACAGTTTGGGGATATACCAGTGAGTGCACAGTTTGGGGATATACCAGTGAGTGCACAGTTTGGGGATATACCAGTGAGTGCACAGTTTGGGGATATACCAGTGAGTGCACAGTTTATGGATATACCAGTGAGTGCACAGTTTGGGGATATACCAGTGAGTGCACAGTTTGGGGATATACCAGTGAGTGCACAGTTTGGGGATATACCAGTGAGTGCACAGTTTGGGGATATACCAGTGAGTGCACAGTTTGGGGATATACCAGTGAGTGCACAGTTTATGGATATACCAGTGAGTGCACAGTTTATGGATATACCAGTGAGTGCACAGTTTGGGGATATACCAGTGAGTGCACAGTTTATGGATATACCAGTGAGTGCACAGTTTGGGGATATACCAGTGAGTGCACAGTTTGGGGATATACCAGTGAGTGCACAGTTTGGGAATATACCAGTGAGTGCACAGTTTATGGATATACCAGTGAGTGCACAGTTTATGGATATACCAGTGAGTGCACAGTTTGGGGATATGCCAGTGAGTGCACAGTTTATGGATATACCAGTGAGTGCACAGTTTGGGGATATACCAGTGAGTGCACAGTTTGGGGATATACCAGTGAGTGCACAGTTTATGGATATACTAGTGAGTGCACAGTTTGGGAATATACCAGTGAGTGCACAGTTTATGGATATACCAGTGAGTGCACAGTTTGGGGATATACCAGTGAGTGCACAGTTTGGGGATATACCAGTGAGTGCACAGTTTGGGGATATACCAGTGAGTGCACAGTTTGGGGATATACCAGTGAGTGCACAGTTTGGGGATATACCAGTGAGTGCACACTTTGGGGATATACCAGTGAGTGCACACTTTGGGGATATGCCAGTGAGTGCACAGTTTAGTGCCACTGTGGGGTCAGTGCCCCTGACATCCTGTACTTACTTCTCTACAGTATCAACAGCTCTAAGGTCTTGTATATGTGGGCCCCAGGGTTCTTAGAGATTCCAGTGCTCAAATGCAGGGTATAGTCGGACTTTTCTTTGGGCCTCCAGTTCACAAATAACAACATGAAGACTTATTATTAATTATGAAAGCTTGGCCTTAGCTCAGGCTTTTTCCCAACCAGCTCTTATAACTTAACCTGTTTTTATTGATCTATGTTCTGCCACATGGCTCGGTTACCTCTCCTCTGTCTGACTTCTTCAGTGTCTTGCTGGTGCCTCTTGCACACTAGATTGATCCTGAGTTCCTCTTCCTCCCCGGAAGTCCCACCTATTCTATCCTGCCTAGCTATTGACCATTCAGCTCTTTATTAAACCAATCACAGTAACACATCTTTACACAGTGTAAACAAAAATTCCACAACAGCATGGACCAGGGTTTTTTTTCTGGCTTTATTCACTGAGCATCGTATTTTCCAGGCTCTGTTGTGGCAAGTGTCTGTATGTCATAGGACTGAGGAGTGTTGAGAATGAGGTGCCGGGGCTGGAGAGATGGCTCAGTGGTTAAGAGCACTGTCTGTTCCTCCAGAGGACCTGGGTTCAATTCCCAGCACCTACATGGCAGCTCACAACTATCCCTAACTCCAATTCCAGGATACCCAGCACCCTCATACATCCATATAGGCAAAACACCAATGCACATAACTTAAAAAAAAAAAAGAAAGAAAGAATGAGATGCCAATCTATGACAGCTAGGAAGATAGAAAGGGTTGGGACAGAGGCCAGGGTCCTAATATACACCTCAAAGACATGTCCCCAATGATCTAACTTCCTATTGGGCTTGTTTTTTACAACTATTCCCATGGTCTAGGGACCAGGACTATGACACATGGGCCTTTTAGGGACATTTAAGATCAAACTAGGTGGGGCTGGAGAGATGGCTCAGAGGTTAAGAGTACTGACTGCTCTTCCAGAGGTCCTGAGTTCAATTCCCAGCACCCACATGGTGGCTCACAACCATCTGTAATAAGATCTGGTGCCCTCTTCTGACCTATAGTCATACATGCTGTATACATAATAAATAAATCTTTATTTAAAAAAAAGAGATCAAACTAGGCATGTACCTGTAATCTCATCATTCATGAGGCTTAGGCAGGAGGATTTCTGCAAGTTTGAAGCCAGCCTGGGCAACATAGTGAGTCCCAGACCAGTCTGGGCTACACTGTCACCCTATCTCAACAAAAAAGCAGTAGACCTGTGGTCCAGCAGGATGGGACATGTTTTCTTTTTCTCCCAGCCATCAGTGGAGTCTTGCCTAGTTAGATCAGGATGTCCAAGATGGTTCAACCTGGGACATGGACTAATTCCCCCAACAGGATACACCTCTATCCTGCCCCCACCACAAGCCAAAAAGCCACACTGGTTGCCAAGGGCCCCTTCAAAGCATTACCTCTTGCAGTTTTTCTTGTATGCTTTGGGTGTGTCGGACCTTGGTCTGCCTCAGCCACCCAGCCTTGGTCCCTGGAGGTAATGAAGCCAAGAATGACCCACCAGCTCAGACCTTCCTCCACAGTAGAGCCTAGTTACACACACACACACACACACACACACACACACACACACACACACACACACACACACACAATGAGTGATGTTGTCCCATTGGCCTAGTCATGACTCAGTTTCCTGTGTGGCCTGCTCCAGCACAGCCACAGGATTGGCTCTTTGTGGTACTGTATGTTGTCTGTTTTGTTTCCATGAGATACTGTCTCATGCAGCCCAGGCTAGCCTCAAGCTCTATGTAGCCAAGGATGACTTTGAGTTCTATACTGTTGCTTTAATAGGTAAGCCATTGGATATTTGGGCATTATGGTGATGATGTGATGATGATGATGATGATGATGATGATGATTTGTTTGGAATAAATCTCAGGAATCAGAATGATCAAATGGCTGTTTTATTTGGGGGCTTAGCCTGGGAAAGGCTCTTTTCTGTGAATTCTACATGGACTAAATCATTTGTCTCCAAGACAAGGAGACTGAAGCCCAGAGAGGACGTCCGGCTTCCCTGGGGTCACACAGCTTTGGCCCAGGCAGTGTTTGCATTCTTCCAGAAGCCTTGCTCTAGCCACTCCATCATCCGCCTCCATCCTCACGCAGTCCTCTTCTGTCTCCTATGTGCTCAGGCAGCTCCCCTCTCATCGTCTGTTCCTCTTCGCTTCTGAGTGCGCAGTTGCTGGGCTCAGTCACCCGGTTCCAGGATGCTGTCTCTGTGAGGTTCTCAGCCTGATTAAACCTTCAAACACCTCGTTCTAACAAGGCTGGATTCACCCTGGAGCCAGTTCACCCCTGGAGGTGGGGGAGTGCTGCTGTCACTCATGGGGCAACAGGCAAGGGACCCAGCCGGGACCTCCCTAGATCCTCTGTCCCTCCATCCCCAAGACTGCCCCTGGGACTCAGCTGTTTCTAGTTTATCTTCCTTGTAACATTCCCAGCTCCAGGCTATGTCGGGGCTCCAGATCAGCTCTGCTCCTTATCCAGAGCGTGCACACAGCACAGAGCAGCTAACTCTCCAGTGCATAGCACAACATCCGGCCACCCCAGAGCCTGGCTCAGCTTAGCACTCCAAACTCATTTCCCATGAATCCCCATGACAGGACGCCCCTGTGTGTGTCTCTGGGCTTAGAATTTTCAGGGAAAAGTGAGACATCCTCCACCCAGCCACACCATGGCTTGAGAATCATCTAGAGAATTCTACTGAGTTGCACATGTGGATTCTCCTGAGGGTTCACCAGCTGAGAGCACCGTCCCCTTAGAGGCCAGGACACTCAGAAATGTGTAGCTGTCATGGTGGCAGATCCTGGAGGCAGAAGGATGGTGAGCTAGAGGTTAGCCTGGCCTACACAGTGAACCCTTGTTTTTAAAAATATAAATTTTGGGGCCTGAAAAGATGGCTCAGTGGTTAAGGGCACTGACTGCTCTCCCAAAGGACGCAGGTTCAAATCCCAGCACCCACATGGCAGCTCACAACTATCTGTAACTCAAAGATCTGACCTGTAGGCAAAACACCAATGCACATAAAATAAAAAAGTAAACAAATTAAAAAAATTTTTAAAGAAAAAAAGTATTAATTTTGGGCTGGCAAGATGGCTCAGCAGTTAAGAGCACCTGTTCTTGCCAAGGGCTCGGGTTTGATTCCCAGTACTCCCACGGTGGCTCACAATTGTCCATAACTTCAGTCCCGGGGGTCCAACATTGTCTTCTGCTGTGTGTCAACACAGACCTATGTGCAAGCAAAACACTCACACACATAAAATATATAAATATTCTTTGAAAAGATAATATATTTCTTTTTTTTTTTTTTTTTTTTTGCTTTTTCGAGACAGGGTTTCTCTGTGTAGCTTTGCGCCTTTCCTGGAACTCACTTGGTAGTCCAGGCTGGCCTCGAACTCACAGAGATCCGCCTGGCTCTGCCTCCCGAGTGCTGGGATTAAAGGCGTGCGCCACCACCGCCCGGCAATATATTTCTTTTTTAAAGACTTTTGTTTGTTTGTTTGTCCAGACAGGGTTTCTCTATGGAACAGCTGTGGCTGTCCTGGAACTGGCTTTATAGACCAGGCTGACCTTGAACTTAAAGAGATCCACCTGTCTCTGCCTCCCCAGTGCTGAGACTCAAGGTGTACGCTACCACCTCCTGGCTAAGACTCATTCATTTTTAAGTATGTGTATGTGTGTGAGTATGCACACGTGAGTTCAGGTGAGGCTGGAAGAGGATGTCAGAGTCCCCAGAACTAGAACTACAGGTGGTTGTGAGCTGCCTGATGTGGGTGCCGGGAACCACACTCAGGTCTCAGGCCCTCTGCAAGAGCAGCAAATGCTTCTGACCACTGTGCTATCTCCCCAGCCTCCATCCCCAAATATTAATTTCTCAGTGGCACAGTTTGGACCGTACAGTGCTGCCTGCCTCAGTGACCCCTGCTTCCCACACCTGTTCTTCCCCACGGTCTGATTCCCGCCACTTTGTCTCCTTCTGCCTCAGGGCCGTTGCACCGGCTGCTCCCTCTGCCTGAGATACAACTCTCCATACTCAGGGTGGCTCCAGTCCAGTCCAAACGAATGTTGGGGTCACTCATGGCTCCTCAGCTTCTTTCCTGTACCCCCTTACTGTGCCAGCCTAGGCTGTATGTTCACATAGCTGTCCATGGTTGTCTCCGCTCAGGGTCCCCGCACAGTGATGGTACATAGTGGATACTCAGTATGCTTGTTGGTAAAAGAAACCCTGCCCCTTTACCACCCTGGTCTGGTCTCTACTCCCAGAGCAGGCATTCAGCCTCCTGGAGTCCCATGTGTATCTAGCTTCTTTGGGGACTCAGATACACCCGATCCCTACCCCATGGTAGTGGCATTGCCAGGCATTGAGGTTGGGGACTCCCCTTGAAAGCTGGAGCCCATTTTATAGATGGGGAGATTAAAAGCCAGGAGATGAAGGACATAGTACAGCAGAGATGGGAGGTGACTTAGGAGGGCTGAACAGGGTCCCCCTCAGGTAAGCATCACAGACTGTAGGGTCCTTGCTTTTTTGGACGAGGTCTGTGTATTAGCTGAGGATCTTTGATGAGCTCACACTTGATTTGAGGGACTCTATCTAAACTCTAAACCCATTGATTGGCGTCTTCATGGGCAGAGAGACATGGGCAGATGGCCATGAGAAGCGTCAGCAGAGCCTGTGGACATGGGAGCTACTTGGAACCAGGAGAGGCAGGAAAGAGTCACTCTTGGGGCCTCCCTAGGGCTCCTGGCCCCAAACACCACCTCCATGGCAGGCTACTGATCTCCAGAGCTGTGGGGCATAAAGTCCCACTGTCTCAAGTCACACAGTTTGTGGTCATTTGTTAAGCAAGCCCCAGGACACTTGCCCATGCTGGAGGAGATAGACAGAGGTTGGCCCAAGTGGCTGATGGAGCCCAATCCATCAACACAAAGTTGGTCGGCCAGTCTCTGTGTCCTCCTGGGAGCTTAGAAAGAAGGGGGCGAGGAGGGCTGTACCTCCATTGTCACAACTCCTAAGGTAGTGGTTCTCAACCTGTGGGTCACAGGGGTCCCCAAAGATAGTCAGAAAATACAGATATTTATATTATGATGCATAACAGTAGCAAAAATACAGTTAGGAAGTAACAACAAAAAGAATTTTATGGGGGCAGTCACCGCAACATGAATAGGTGTATTAAAGGATCACAGCATTAGGAAGGTTGAGAATCACTGTCCTAAGGGAGCAGGAGAGTAGAATGGTCTCCAGAGAGAGTCAGATTCAGCTTTTGGAAATGCGTGCCTTTTAGCTCTGAAAGCCAACTCTAAGACTCCAAAAGAGGAAGGGAAGAGGGAGGGCCAACACCAGCCCCACTATCACCCACCCCTAACTCTGGCCTGCTCATTAAAGTCCCCTCTAGACCACCAGCTAACAGGAGCCCCCTAGGCTAGCAATTAGACCCCAAGACCTGACAACTAGGCCAGCATACTGACCTGTGGGTCAGTAGAATAAATAAAGTACCTTCATTTCTTCTAGCCCCCCCTTTTTTTTTGCTCAAGGGATCCCCAGATGGTTGGGTACCCCACTCAGAACTTTCTAGCCCAGGGATGCAAAGTTTTGACACATATGAGAGCCATCCAGAGTGTCTCAGGGGGTCTGCGGCAATATGGCCTCCAGGATGGGTCAGGTGTTGTGTGCTGGGTCCCAACTATCCCCATTATAAACAATAATTTATTAGTTTCCATAATCAGATCTATGTAGATTTGACCTTACAGGCTTAGTACAGTGTGCTACTCTGTACAAACAGGAAAAATATTCAGTGGTCCAAAAAGCCTATTGATTTTTCCACAGTGGTAAACTGGGGTACTTGTTTTCCAAAGCTGACAGCATAGCCAAAGTCTTCAAAATACAAATTACATGTGTATGTATGTCTTTATATGTATATGGCCAGGCATGGGGGCACACACCTTTAAGCCCAGAACTCGGGAGGCAGAGGCAGGCAGATCTCTGTGAGTTTGAGGCCAGCCTGGTGTGTGTATATATGTACTTACATGTATATATATATTTCTATAAAAAGGCTGGTACCGGGCCTGTAGTTCAGTTGGCAATCACAGCATTCAGCAGGTGGAGGCAGGAGGATCAGAAGTTCAAGATCATCTTCAGCTATATAGAAAGTTCTAGGCCACCCAGGGCGGTCAACACAGGGACCTAAAGACTGATCCAGATCTCCTTCTGGAACCTTCTGTACAGAGCCTGCCTGGGCAGCTCCAGGCTGAGCTCTGAGTGTGCTGATCTTGAAAGCCTGTTTGAAATTCGGGGGTGTGTGATGATTGATCCAGCCCCATTCTGTGCCCCAGGCATGTCCAGCTCCCTGCCACACTCTAGGACTTAGCCCTCTTGTGTCCCTTGTCACTAGTGCTTAGGCTAAGCCTCAGCGGCACCTGATGTCCTCAGGAATTAGGGCAGCAGCCCCAGTAGGTGGGATCAGATGCCCTCCCTAATCGCCTGTGCCACCCCCCGCCCCTGCGCTGCCGGAGCCACTTAATGAGGACCCCCGACTTGAAGCCACGCACTCAGGACTCAGAAGTCAGCACTCCACTGCCTGCTTACCTGCTCAGACACAACCAGGGTCAGGAGGCTGGCCAGCCTGCTCCTCCCATTTTTAAAGAATATGTTTGGCCAAGCGTGGTGGCACAGGCCTTTAATGCCAGCACTCTGAGGCAGAGCTGGTAGTTGGACAGGGGTAGTTTGAGACCAGCGGGAGCCACACAGAGAAACACTGTCTCGAAAAGAATATTCTCTCTGTATCCCTTAACAGTTCGATGCGTGTACACATTGTGTCACGGATCTATCCAGGGCTCTGCGCTGCCACTCCCCCAGCATGCCCCTAACACCTTAGCGTTCTGTTAAAGCACACTGGGTCCTTGATATTTTCAGGGCTTTGACAAGGGACCCCTGGCAGTGGTCCCTGGTGCCCCCTGCCCCCATCCACCACACGGCATATGGAAGTGCCGACAGGCACATTTTTTTGTCCCTCATTTTGCCGATCTGCTGGTGGAGAAAGCCTTCTTCCGGGAAACTCGGCTTCATTTTCTTTTTTGATGAGAGTTGAGTCCAGGCAGGCCTCCAGCTCACAATCCTCCTGCCTCAGTTTCTTGAGTGCTCTGAGTCTGTTCCCTGCTCAAAGAGGGAAGCAGGACGCTTCCTCAAAACACAGAGCCAGTGGAGGGCACTCTGGGGGAATGGGGCCCCCTGTGTGGGAGGTGCTGTGCCCCTCGTGTGGCCCCATCCTTCCAGGTGTGTGATAGGCTGTGGGGGAAGGGACTAGCAGGAAACCAGCAACCACCAGGTTCCAGGCCATGAACACATTCTGGGCCATTACCAAGAACAACACACACACACACACATGAAATTTTCTTGAGACATAGCTGAATATACAACTTATTTTGTAGCCCAGGATAGCCTCAAATTCAACAGTCATCCCCCTGCCTCAGCCTCCCAAATACTGGGATTATACAGATCACACCTGTGATCCTCAACTAACGTTGATTGTGTGTGCCTGTGCCTCTGTGTGTGCGTGTGCCCAGGTTCAGAGACAAACCCCACAGAATGGAGTATGGTGATTCATGCTGTCTTCTCAGCATGCAGGAGGCAGAGGCAGGAAATTCAAGAGTTCAAGGTCTGCACGACAGAGCAAGACCTTACCTCAAGAAATAAACAAGCTGGGCGATGGTAGTGCACGCCTTTAATCCCAGCACTCAGGAGGCAGAGGCAGGTGGATCTCAGTGAGTTCAAGGCCATCCTGGGCTACAGAGTGAGTTCCAGGACAGCCAGGGCTACACAGAGAGAGACCCTGTCTCAAAAAAAAAAAAAAAAAAAGAAAAGAAAGACAAACAAATGAAATGAAACAGAACAATTCTCCTGCCTCACCCTCCCAAGTACTAGGAAGACAAGTGCTGTTCATCTAGGAATAACAGATGTGTGCCATGAGTCTGGCTTTGTTTGTTTCCTGTGGCTTCTTATGGTCACCCCCAGAGGGCGGCTTCCTATGTTCATTTTAGGGTTGGCAGGCTGAGGGCCAGCGCTGACCAGTGACCAGTCCAGGCTGGACCCTGTTTTCTGCACTGAACCCTTGCTCTCCACAGCTGAGACCCCAGCAGCCTTCCGTGGGGGCCTGCAAGGTGGCAGGGACTGGCTGCTGGATGTGCAGGGTGCCCTCAGCCTGAACTGCCTGGCAGCCTCTTCACAGGCTCCTCTCAGTGCGAGCTCCAGCTGCAAGTCCCTGACGCAAGCAGGAGCTTTTCCCTTAATTGAAAAGAGATTTAAAACCATCTCTGTTGGGCCCAGGCTGCCGTGAAAAAGGTAAAAACCACGAGCGCCATCGGCCATCACCGACTCTGCAGTAACACTAGGCTTTCCCTATGGCTGGAATTATAAACAGAGGGCGAAGGGAAATGAAGACAACATGTCTGGATCCCTGGCAGGCCTTTGCCCTTGTGTTGTGAACGATTCTCAGCATTCCCTGCCCCTGCTCAGCCCCTGCACCCTGCCCCAGTGCCCTCTTCTCTGTCCCCCGTGAAGCTTTGATTGTCTTCCCCCCAACCCCCCCACCCCGCCGCCCCAGCAGCCTCCTGAGCTCTCACCATCCCCCCCCCCCCTCCAGCCACTAATGGCCTGTTGTTTGTCCTTGTCCCTCTGTGACCAGACTCTGAGTTTCTGTGCCTTCTGTGTCTTCAGGACCCAACATCAGATCCGTGTCACTTCCCTGTATCTTAGCATGGTGGACCCCACCTAGTGAAGTATTCAACTACCCGGGTCAGGCCCTTCTCTCCCCAAGCAGACCCTGTAATCCTTGAGGCCCACTGGCTGGGAAGAGAGGTCCCTTGGCAGTGGCGTTTTTTTTTTTTTTTTTTTTTTTTTTTGTTGTTGTTGTTGTTTTTGTTTTTTTGTTTTTCGAGGCAGGGTTTCTCTGTAGCTTTGCGCCTTTCCTGGGACTCACTTGGTAGCCCAGGCTGGCCTCGAACTCACAGAGATCCGCCTGGCTCTGCCTCCCGAGTGCTGGGATTAAAGGCTTGCGCCACCACCGCCCGGCTGGCAGTGGCGTTTTGTAAAAAGGGGGTGAAGTGAGCACATAGATCAGGAGGCTCGCTGGCTTTTATTCTGACGTAGGCAGGGGCTGTGGCTCACCCCATCCGTGGGAGCTCTCCTCATACTCGGACTAATTGGCACAAAGGGGAAGCATGTGATGGAGAGCTTCAGGAATGGCCAGGGTTTGGGAAACAAGCATAAGGTGGGGGAGGGGGGGTTATGGAAATATTGGCTAGCTACCTTTGATAGAAAAACATTTCCCACTCCGTTTCTGTTGCTGGAACCTGGCATCGGAGGCAGGGAAGGCTCTGTGGGCAAGCAGAGCAACATCTGCGGGGTCATTTTGATCCCAGTTGTGTGCCCAGCACGTGGAGCACTACCTGGTACACACACACACACAGTGGGTGCACAGACAGTGCCTGCTGTCAGGGCCTGAGCTCCTCCAGGGCCAGGGCTGGGCTCGGCCCTTTATTCAGAAGTGGGTCACAGAAGCCTGGCGCAACAAGTGGCCAGCCCTGGCCAAGAGAGGCCTCTTTCCCAAGTCCATGGCTATCCAACGAGAGAGGAAAAGGTGACCCCTGGGTGCCATGCGGAGACTGAGCCCCGTTCCTCCTGCCTCCACCTCCTGAGTACTGGACTGCAGGTGTGCACCACACCACGTGGTGCTGGGGCTAGGCTCAGGCTTTGTGCATGCTGGGCGAGCCCGCTACCTGCTAGGCCACATTGCCAGCTCCTAGAACCAGGAACATCCTGTCTAGCACCCACCCCAGCTGTATCCAGAGAATGGCAGAGCCCCTACACGTCGGTGGCGCTGCATACCAAGTGTCTGATATTGGTTGGTTTGGATTGAGTGCTAAGGAATAAACTGCCTGGCGTGAGTAACAGCTGGTGTTCCTGGAAGGTGCATTAGGAGGCCAGCTCTGGGGCTACTCACTTGAGTGGCCTGGGATAGTGTTAATGGCTGACAGTCTAGCTCAGTGGTTTCTCAGCGTCCCTGATGCTGTGGCCCTTTAATACAGTTCCTCATGTTGCAGTGACCCCCGACCAGAAAACTGTTTTCGTTGCTACTTCATGACTGTAATTTTCCTACATATTGTTATGAATTGTAATATAAATATCTGTTTTTCGATGGTTTTAGGCAACTCCTGTGAAAGGGTCATTTGACCTGGGGTCTCTACCTACAAGTTGAGAACCGCTGGTCTAGCCTGTCTGTGGGGTCATTATGTACTCCCAGCAGGGGAGAGGACAGAGGCTGAAACAGGTGGGGCCTTTGCCCGGTAGACTGAGGCCCAGCTGTCAGTCTGGCTCGCTGTACTGGGTTCAGCAGATTGGTTGGGGCTCCTTGTGTGTGAAAGTTGCTTTTTCGGTGGAAAGGCTATTTGGCAGGCTCCTAACAGAGGCAGATTGCTGTTTTACAATGAGCCAGTAGAGGGCACCTGTGAGCCATAATGCCTGCTCAGGGCCAGAACTTGCCTTTGGCGGCAGCCTGAGTCTGTTAAGGCCTTGGGAGGACTGGGGAATACTGAGGGTGAGTAGGGAACCTTGCCCTGCACCTAGGATCCTGGGGTGTCCTAGGTAGAGGCTAGATGTGGGGTCATGGGCATGAGCTCACCTGACCCCGAGCTTTAAAAGAACGAGAAATGGGGGCTGAGGCAGGAATGGTTAGAGCCACAAGAGGCCATGGCCTCTCTAGACAGGCTATGACCCTAGCTCCCTCTGTGGTGTGAGGATGGAGACGGTGGGAATTCAGGCTCTGCTCACCTCGGCTGGGGAGGCTGCACCAGGAGGCTGGCCAGCTTGGTGGGGAGATAGCTTAGTGTCCCCCAGGTCCTTGCCAGGGGGATTGCTGCAGGCCATGTCATCCGCGTGTGTATGAGTTCTATGAGCTCCATTTTACAGCCAGGGAGATCAAGGCTCAGAGAGCCAAGCCATGCATTTCCACAGTCACTCTAGTTCAAGGGTTCCCAACCCTGACTGTGAATCTCCAGGAAGCTTTATAAACAGTCAGTGCCCAGCTCAGAGCAGAGATGCAGCCCCTTTGTGTGTGGGTGGGCAGGGGGGGGGGGCTTGGGGGTGGGGAGACATGAGGAAGAAAGCTGGGTGTGGTGGACACCTGCAATCCTAGCACTTGAGAGCTGGAGGCAGTAGAATCAGGAGTTCAAGGCCAGCCTTGGCTATGGGAAGCCCTGGCTCAAAATCAAAAGAAACCTCTCAGAGAATCCCCACAGGCCGCCCTGGGTGTCGGCACAGCCACAGCCAGCAGAGGGCAGGGCTAGCGCTCAGCCCATCCTTGCCGGGCTGTGTGTCACCGTGTCTGAGTTCTGCTTCTCTGAAGGCGGCTTAGGCTGGGTCTGTGGAGACTGAGGTGGTGCACAGAAGGATGCTCAGGATGGGGGACCCCAACACTTGGCACAGCCCATGAAGGCCTCCTTCCCAGACGCCAGGCCTAGGCCACGCCTGGATCCCTGGTCGGTGCCCTGCCTCACCTGTTCCTCTGGAAACAGGCTTCTAATCGCCCGCCCGAGGCAGTCACGGAACTGACAGATGACAGCTCTGGCCCCCAGGGTGGCTGGCATTTGTTTAATCTTCACCGCTGCCTAATCCTCCTGAGAGCTTTTGCGCCTGCCCAGAGGCCGCAAGGCGGCACCAGAGCTGAGGGGCCAGGGACCTGCCGCTCCCCTCTCCCTTCTTCCTTCCCTCCTCCCTCTCCTCCCTCCTCCCAGGCTCCCTCCCTCTTCCCCCGTTTACTCCCCCTCTTCTCCTCCTCCCTCCTCCCTGCCTCCAGCATCTCTCCTGGGCTCACTGAACCCCAGATACTTCCCGCTTAAGCTGTGGGCTCTGCCCTCACGTTCCAGACCCTGCTGGCCGAGTGTGACCCGACACTTCTGTGGGGGTGAGAAAGGGGTTCCAGTGTGAGTGGGAGGCTCCTCCATCACTGTGGGGTGACCAGCACCTCCTTTGGTTGAGGTTTCTGGGAGCAGCAGGGTCAGGACTGACAGGACAGAGCCCGACCCCCCAGCCCCTGGCTGTTCCAAGTCCCTCCCTTCAGTCACATGCAAATGGCCCCGGTGCACACGCTGCCCGCATGGCCAGGCTGTGTTTTCAGATTTGAGGTTGGTATGAACATGCCCAGGCTGGGAGACTCTGTTGGCCCACTGGGACATCAGACTCATCCTAGACCCACTTCCCGGGGATTATCCTGGGTGTGAGGCTGCAGGGACTGGCCAGCCACAAGCACCCATCCGGGACCTGTTGGCTGCCTATAAATAGAACTGTATCAGGATGGGCTCACGCCCTGTCATCCCTGTAGGTTCTTGGCGGCCAACATACCACAGGGCCAGAGAGCCGTAGGTGGCGGCTTGCTGCAGAGGTAGTTCTGCAGGGCTCTGCAGGGAGCTGTGTGCTCCATAATTCATGATCGCCAGGACAGAAAGCATCGGCGCTGGGAGTCATCCTGTCTCTGGCTTAGTGACCCTGGCTGCCTCTTACCAACTGGTCCACCATTGCTCTCTCTGGTCCTTAGCTTCCACATCTGTGTAATGGGCAAGTAGCGCTTGGCAGAGAGAGCTGTGAACTGAGGGGAAAGACCATGTCAGCCCCAGGAACAGGGTTTGGACCCTAGAACACCCCTCCCACCCCACCCCACCCCTGTCCTTAGCTGTTTTCCATGCTGGCTTCTGTGTGACACCACTGTGCTAGAATGTCTCCACAGGGAAGTCGACAGGTCAGGGGAAGGGCCTGAGGCACTGCCTCAGGTCCTAGGATGAGATGGGGTGAAAGTAGGGGTGTGTGCAAGGAGAGGGAGGTGCTGGTCATGCACCAGTCACCATGGTGACTGTTTTCCAACAGACACGGTTGGGTTTGGCTTCTGATTTTGTCAGTATAAAAAGAATGCTGTGAGGAGTCAAAGCTAAAACCAAGGGTTACATAGAGTGAGGCCTCACTCCGCCTCCTGCAGAGAGAAAGCGTCACCGAGCAGGCAGAGGAAGCCTGGAGCACCAGCTGGGAGGTCGTCTGCCCCTGGGCTTCTGCTTGGAGGCCAGTGGGGAAGAGCGACCTGAATTTGGATCACGTGAGAGGCAGAGCTTCTCCACAGGGGTTTGTATCCTGCGGGGATTTGGAGCTGTGACTTCACTGGTGGTGGCTTCTGTTCACTGCCTTCCACACTGTCAGAATCCTCAGACAATGTTCTGAAGGCTTCTCCTGGGACTTAAGAAGTTGTTACTTAAGGTACCGGTGGCTCCGTGTCCAGCAGGCTGTGCCCTCCTGTGTGACGAGGCCAGGTGCTAATTCCAGCCCTGCCCCCATGTATGAGGCCACACACCCTGCCGTGCCAGCTGCTCCCATCCCCATCCCCACCCCACCCCTACCCACCATGTGACTGAGTTGCTAGAGGGACCAATGGGCCTCACCAAGACATGTCACCTTGGTCACAGGCATGCACATCTGACCATCCCATCTGTGGAGTCACAGATGGTGCTGACCCCTCCCTGACCCTGCCATGTGACGACACTCAGTGTCCTTACCAGGGAAGCACCTTGAGTCTCTTGTGTCCTGTTCCGTTGTGGGTTGGATTGTATCACCTCAAGATTCGTATGTTGAGAGGCTGTGGGAGCTCATGCCTGAAACCCCAGCACTGAGGAGGCTGAGGCAGGATGATTGAGTGTTTGGAAATAGCCTGGGATACACAGGAAGACCCTGTCTTAAACCAAAAGGAGAAGACAGGGCAGGGTTTTTTTGTTTTGTTTTGTTTTTCAAGACAGGGTTTCTCTGTGTAGCTTTGGAGCCTGTCCTGGAACTCGCTCTGTAGACCAGGCTGGCCTCAAACTCACAGAGATCCACTTGCCTCCGCCTCCCGAGTGCTGGGATTAAAGAAAGGCATGTGCCACCATTGCCCAGCCAGGACAGGGTTTTAATCAAAATAGCCCTTTGGGGTTATGGTTCATCAGCCAGGGTCAAGGTGACTCTTGACTGATTATTATCTTGTTCAGTTCTCTAGCGTGACTTGGACAAGTACTTACTGCCAAGGTGACAGGTCGGTACCCATGAGACAACTGTTGGGCTTGGGCCTGGCCTTACCATGCAGTGGCATGTTTACAGACTCTGCCCTTCCTGAAGTCCTGGACCACTGTAGGTTGAGGGCGGTGATATGGAGACTGCCTGGTGCCTTTTCCGGGGACCAGAACACTGTGGAGGCCAACAGGTGTCTCAGGGACTCTTTGCTTTCGGCCTTGAAGGGAGGTGTACATCTGGGCTTGTCAGTCACCAGGTTAGACAGACATTGGGGTGTTCCCAGGTCTGCAGGCAGAGCTCGCTGAGAGACAGAGCCAGACAAGGCCGGTTGCCTGCTTCCAGCCTGCCACACACCCCGGTGCCCCTGACCTGCTGGGGTCAGAGCTTCCAACAACAATTTTTTTTAGTTTTCGTTTGTTTGGTTTTTTGTTTTGTTTTTGGGTTTTTTTTTTTTTTTTTTTTTTTTTTTTTTTTTTTTTTGGTTTTTCGAGACAGGGTTTCTCTGTGTAGCTTTGCGACTTTTCCTGGAACTCACTTGGTAGCCCAGGCTGGCCTCGAACTCACAGAGATCCGCCTGGCTCTGCCTCCCGAGTGCTGGGATTAAAGGCGTGCGCCACCACCGCCCGGCTTGTTTTGTTTTTTAAGACAGGGCTAAAATTGTGTGTGTATGTTGTTCTTTTTTTTTTTTTGGTTTTTCGAGACAGGGTTTCTCTGTGTAGCTTTGCGCCTTTCCTGGAACTCACTTGGTAGTCCAGGCTGGCCTCGAACTCACAGAGATCCGCCTGGCTCTGCCTCCCGAGTGCTGGGATTAAAGGCGTGCGCCACCACCGCCCGGCGTTCTTTTTTTTTAAATTATTTATTTATTATATGTACATTGGTGTTTTGTCTGCATGTATATCTGTGTGAGGGTATCAGATCCCTTGGAACTAGAGTTACAAACAATTGTGAGCTGCCATGTGAGTCCTGGGAATTGAACCCAGGTCCTCTGGAAAAGCAGCCAGCCAGTGTTCAACCCCTTATCCATCTCTCTTGCCCTCTTTTTTTTTTTTTTTTTTTCAAGACAGAGTCTTAGCTGTAGCCCTGGCTGTCCTAGAACTCACAGAGATCCATCTGCCTTTGCCTCCTGATTGCTGAGATTAAAGGCGTGTACCACCACCACCACCACCACCACCACCCAGCTAGCTTTTGTTTTCTTTCTTTCTTTTTCTTTACTTTTTTTGTTTTGTTTTGTTTTTGTTTTTTCGAGACAGGGTTTCTTAGTGTAGTTTTGATGTCTGTCCTGGATCTCGCTCAATAGACCAGGCTGGCCTTGAACTCACAGAGATCTGCCTCCCAAGTGTTGGGATTAAAGGTATGCGCCACCACCGCCCAGCTTAGCTTTTGTTTTTTGAAGCAGTCTTACTGTGCCTCCTGGCTAGCCTCGGACTCCTGATCCTCCTGCCTCAGCCTCTGAGTGCTGGGATCATAGGTGTGCTCCACCACATCTGGCTATAGGAAACATGGTCTCCAGGCTCTGGTGCACTTGGTGTCTTCCTGGGCCAGTGTCTGACCTCCCATACAGCCAGTGGCCCAAGGCAGGACAAGGACTGTCACTTCTGTCCATTCTGTTCTTTAGAACGAGTCCCTGGGTCCCCTTCCCGCTAGGACTGAAGCACCACAGCTTGGGGTCCTGATAGTGGCCAGGGCACTGGAATGTGGTAGAGACAGTCACTCAGGACTCGGTGATTTTTTTTTTAAACTAATTATTCCCTGTCTCATCCTACATGGCCTGGTACTTCAAAGCTGCCTGGGGCTAAGTGGGAATGAGGAGAGGACAGACACACAGACAGAAAAGCTAGAATCAGGTGGGCCGGGCTTGCTCTGATGGGGGGCAGCTACTCTAACTGCGGCAGGGAAACTGGGTGTGTTTATTAGGTACATCTCAAGGAAGAGGGATCAGCTAGTCTCTGTGTGAGGTCTCTGTAGGAGAGCAACATCTGAACTGCAAACATCTGGGAGAAGGAAGCTGACATCAACATTCCTCCTCAGACCCAGGAAGGCTTTGCCATTCCTGTGGACCTGAGGTACTGGGGTCCTTGATGTGGCTGTGCCCATATCAACAATACACATTCACTCAGGGCTTCCTTCATTCCCTGCAGCCCCCAAGTCTGGTGTTCTCTGGAGTAAGACAGGACCCCACGTCCAAAGGTTTCTGAAGGTCTTGATTATTTAATGTAAATTTTAAAACTCTGTCACTTACTCTGCTCCAGACTCTGCTAGGCTCAGGGGACCAATAAGGAAATGGTGGCTACTCCAGGTGCCCTCAGCCAAAGCAGAGGTAAGAACTGTTCTCTCAGTGCCCATGAATAAGTGAGCACAGACAGGTCAAAGAGGTCGTGAGGGCACAGCCTGAGCCACCTTCCCCAAAGAAGAGCATGCTATGCTAGACTGAGGGATGGACAGAAGCTCACTCCCCTGGCAAAGGAAGAGAGTGCATTTCAGGCAGGGGGACCAGCATATGAAAAGGTGTGAAGGGGCTGAAGGACTTCCTGACTCTTAGTTCTAGATGGGAACAGGTGTCCCTCTAGATGGGACTGTAAGGTCATCGTAAGTTTGGGAAGCCTTGGGTTAGGTCAAATTAAAACCCTTTCCACTAGGGCTGGAGAGATGGCTCAGGGGTTAAGAGCATTTGTGGCTCTTTCAGAGGACCCGGGTTTGGTGCCCAGCACTCACATGGCAGCTCACAACCATCTGTACCTCCAGTTTCAAGGGATCCAGTACCTTCTTCTGGTCTCCATAGGCACCAGGCACTTGGTTTACAGACACTTATTTCAAACATATAAAATAGAATAAATAAGCCTAAAACCTAAAAGAAGAAAGCCTTTTCGTGCGGTCTGTGATGGCTTGTGCCTGCAGTCCCAGCACCGGGAAGGCTGGGGGAAAGGATCACCTAGCAATTGTGCACAGCCTGACTGCTGAGAGAGCTCCTGGTTAGCCTTAACCTGGGCTATCATGTGGTTTGTTTTAGCTGTTTTTGGGGGCCCTCCACCCAGCTCCCAGATAAATCTCACATGGAGGCCTATTCTTAATTATAAATGCCCGGCCTTAGTTTGGCTTGTTTTTTTGCTAGCTTTTCCTAACTTTAAATTATCCCTTCTACCTTTTGCCTCTGGGCTTTTACCTTTTTCTAAGATTTATTTATTTATTTTATGTATATTAGTGCTCTATCTGCTTATACAACTTTATGCCAGAAGAGGGTATCAGATCCCACTATAGATGGTTGTGAGCCACCATGTGGTTGCTGGGAATTGAACTCGTGACCTCTGGAAGAGCAGCTCTCCACCCTTACCTTTCTCTTACTTCTGTAACCTTACCTTCACCCTTACTCCATGGCTGGCAGTGTGGCTGTGTGGCTGTGTGGCTGTGTGGCTGTGTGGCTGTGTGGCTGTGTGGCTGTGTGGCAGTGTGGCTGTGTGGCTGTGTGGCTGTGTGGCTGTGTGGCTGTGTGGCTGGCCCCTGATGACCTCCTCTGGCTACTTCTTTCCTTTCTTTCCCCCAGATTTCTCCTTCTATATATTCTCTCTGCCTGCCAGCCCTGCCTAGCCTTTCCCCTGCCTTGCTCGCTATTGGCCGTTCAGTTCTTTATTAGACCATCAGGTGTTTTAGACAGACACAGGAACACAGCTTCACAGAGTTAAACAAATGCAGCATAAACAAAAGTAACACACCTTAAAATCGTATTCTACAACAGGCCTAGAATGAGATCTTGCCTCAAAAATGAAAAACAAAACAACAAAAAAAAAAAAAACCCACAACCTAAATCTTTTCCTCATGCAGGACTTCTCAAAGCCTTTGACTGGCAGAGTTGGGAGTGCCCAGCAGGAGGATAAAGTAGATGGGATTCAGTCACAAATATGTCCGATTCCCAAACTCATTATGAGGTCCCTTCCTGGAGTATCACAGAAGGCCAGGGGACAGACCTTGGGAAACGCTGCTCATACCCCAGAAGATGCCACTCAAAGGCCACCACGCCCATGCATATCTCTGGGGACAGACCGAGCTCAGCCCTTGTGGAACTGTGCAAGGTTGGGGATGCATTTCCTTTTCCTGAGTCTCAGCTTCCCCATCTGTGCACTGAGACTGGCAGTGTCCCTTTGTGGAGCATGGGCACGCTGAGAGTGTGGCCAAGGGACTGAGTGACTTCGGCAGGCACTGCCTAGAGGGCCTGATGCTCTCTTTCTGTCATGTCCTGTATCCCTCAGGCTTTAAGATGTGTGTCAGCAGCAGCAGCAGCAGCAACAACAACCATGACGAGGCCCCTGTGCTGAACGACAAACACCTGAGTGTCCCCAACATCATCATTACACCCCCAACCCCGACGGGCACGGGGCTTTCCAGAGACTCCAAGCAGCCAGGTGAGGTGACACCACTATGCAGGAGGCTCCCAGGACCCCTTCTGTGCCATGCATGGCCTGACCTGGTTCCCATCTCCCCCGAGCTTGTTAATGTATGGGCAACTCTGTGGCCACTCCACTCTGGGCCCTTTGTGACGATGCCAGCCCTAGCTAGATGTAGCTGGATGAGCAATTGTCTGAGCGGTCCTGGCTGGCAGCAGGGAGGATGATGGATTGGTCTGGGCTGGCCCCCATGCCATGTCTTAACCACTCACTAGAATTGAAAGATGCTCCATCCCTGCCAACATCAGGGCCTACCACCTTCCATGGTGCTGGCTGCAGCAGCTTGGACAACAGGATAGACTGGGAAACAGCCCCACGACAGGCTGCAGCTGTCCTTGGGTTTTCCAGATGTGAGGCAAGGGCAGATATGAAATGTTCCTGGTCAGACAGCGTGCAGGGTGGGGTGCAGATTGGTGTCTCCTGCAGACGCCCTCAGAGCTGGCAGGAGAGACTGCTCTCTTGTGCACTGAATGGAGATGCACTGAGCTAGGCCTGTGGGGCGGGTTCACAGTCCTAGTTATTCGGGGAAGCTACGGCAGAAGGATCACAAGTTCAAGGCCGCCTGAGCTCCAAAGAAAGCTCAAGGCCAGCCTGGGCAGCTTAGCCAGACCCTGTCTCAAAATAAATATTGAAAAAAGGGTTGCCTCTGCTCAGTGGTGGAGCTCTTGAGGCCCTGGGTTCTGTCCGTCTCCAACACCAAAAGGGGTAAAGAAGGCTGGGGGGGGGGGGGTGGTTGTGGCTGGTAGCCCATACTGAGAAAATAGGTCATTTTCTCACAGGTGCTCAGGAATGGACTTAGTATAGATCTCACCCCCTCAGCTATAGACAGACAAACTGAGGCTCACAGAGGCTGATGGACAAGTGATGGAGAAACTCCATTGAGTCCCATAGGGGTGGGTGGCATCATGGCTGAGCAGGCCGGAAAGGAGTCGGTGCCCGGTAGGAATCAGCAGGAGGGCAGAACCACCTTTGTTCCCTTCAACTCTCAAGAGAACCAGCTCAGATCCCAGAGGACCACCCTGGATTCCTGCAGAGGGCAGCCGCACCCGGTACCTCATCGGTTACCTCATCAGTCCATCGGGCTGCTCTCTTACACAAACTGCCAGCTCTCAGCATCACCGTACTGAGGGCCAAGCTTCCGGCGCGTAAGGCCCAGCCAAACCACAGTCCTCATCCTCTTTTGTGGCTATTCCCAGAGCCCCTCACCAGGCTACATGAAGGATGCACACCTCATTTACTCCTCACTCCAACACTGTGGGCTGTAGGTACTATGTGTAGCTCTGTTTTAGAGAAGGGGAAAGGAAAGGGTCCAGGGAAGGACAGTGACTCACCTGAGGGCCTACAGCAAGGTGGAAGAGAGCCAGGCTCCCGCCCATTGCTTCTCTGCCTCCCAGCTAGTGTCCAGGCAGACCCAGAGGACATCAGAGATGCAAGTCCTCAGCTTTGCCCCGAGGACACTTCTCTCTCTAGACACAGCATCCTCTTCGGAAAGTTCCCAAGGTCGGTGGTTACCCCACAAAATTGTGAGGTGACATTTCAGGCTAAAGCTGAGTGCTTAGGAGGCTCCTGAACCTTGGAAGAAGTTCATTTTTAAGTTTGGACAACTGTAGAGTACATGGGGCCGGAGGGGTGGCCCACAAAGTCTCTCAAACCCACACTTTGGTTCCACCATGCTTCCAGAATTCCACCTGCCCCTTAGATGTGCTGCTGGGAATCTCCTAAGCCTCAGTGTCGTCCTCTGTGCAGGGAAGACAAGAAGAGAGAGACAGAGGTCTCTTGAGGACCTCGGGCCCTGCACATGACTGTGCTGTTGATGTTACTAAGAGAAATGTCACTAGACTGGACCAGGCCCCTGCATGCTGGGAGCACTTGTTACATACTCCAGGGGTCCTGAGGAAGCACCCCAGCTCTGACACATCCCCCAGATCTATAAACCCAAGGAGATTCTGATCTCCCTAGTTCCCAGGAGGGCCTAGGTGGTGGGGGATCTGAGGCACTGGGGATCCTTCTCAGCTTTTAGTGACTCATGCCAGGTTGTGGGGTCCTGGGGTGGTGGCCTGAGGTGAAGAATGTTAGGCCTAGGGAGGAAGCTGACAGAAGACCTGCTAAGGTGAGCCCTTCCTGATGCTGATCCCCTCTTTCTCCTAGTCTGGATGGATGAGTTGGGGTGTTATCAAGATGATGGAGAGTTGGACCCTGAAGCCTGAGAAGTCACCAAGTGGTGGGACCTGTGTGGCAGCTTCTTGCCTCACTGCCCCTTGCCCCAGGTGTTGGGGACATGGCTACCTGAGCAGCTGGATGAGGACTGAGAATTGGGCCCTGGATCAAGACAGGAGTGGCCAACGGAACACAGCAGGGCTCTGGCCCCGGCAGAGCAGACATCTGTCACCTCCATGTCCTTGCCAAGCCAGACCCCAGCTTGGTGAGGAGGAAGTGACCCTGCCCTATGGCCACTGTGGCCACAGACCCTGGCCCTCAAGGTCACAGCACACAAGGACTTCTTGCCAGAGCAGGGCCTCTGTTTTTTATAAGTTGTTTTACAGGTACAGAACCCACGTCCTGAGTGAGATTTATAAATAAAGCACCTTTGTGACTTGTGGGGTTCTGCTTCTTGGGCTTGGTGGGGGGTGTCTGCCTTGCCAGGGTGAGAGACAGGACATGACAGGCAGTCAAGGCTGGGAGTGCAGTGTGTCCACACTCTTGGCCTTTTCTCAAGGAGGGGAAATAAAAAGCCCACAGAGACGGCAAAGCAGCCGGGAATGTCATTTAAAGGAAGTGATAGATAAGACAAGGACACACTGTAAGGCCTGCCCACCGTCGATGAAGATACCCACAAGGGACTCAGGTACTGTTTGGGGGCTTCCTTTCTCAGAGCGTGACAGAATGAGCTTCAGGGTTACTTGATGAGGGCCATTATGAGGATGGTTTCTGTTTTCATTTTAATACTTATTTTATGGGTATGTGTGTATGTCTGAGTGTGTGTCTCAGCACCACATGCAGGTAGTACCCACAGAGGCCAGAAGGGGGCGCTGGATCCCCTGGAACTGGAGTTACCGGTGGTTGTGAGCCACTGTGTGGGTCCTGAACCTAACCAGAGTCCTCTGCAAGAGCAGTCAGGGCTCTTAATCATTGAGCCGTCTCCCCAGCCCTAGATTTCTGTTTTGTTTGGCAGTTTAGGTCATATAATCATTTTTCTACTATGCAATGTTCATTTCTCATAATGCATCTGATTTTAATCATGTGCATGCTTAATTATGTATAAACATAAAATGGCAAGCAGAGATTTTCTCTCAAAGCTCACTTTTTTTTTTTTTTTTTTGCACATGTACTCAAAACTAGTTCAGGCTGGATTGGCCCTCTACCCTAGGACCAAGATGTATTGGGAATGAGTCTGAATAGGAAATGTCTAAGCTTGGTGATCACTGAGGGAAAGGTAAACCCATTGTTCAGAGAGGGGTATAGGTGTAGCCTGATGCAGTGGGGTCTGAGGTTGGTAGGTGTATTGTTTGAAGAGGGGTGTGTGCCTAGGACATGCAGGTAAGGGAGCAAGGCTTCCTAGGTATTACTACAAGAGGGTGTACATGTAGCTCAACCTGAGTGAGTCCCAGGTCACTCGGAGACCGAGCCAACCTTCCCTTAACTTGTGTCAGGTACTGGGCATAGCCATGCAATAGTGATGACTACTGCTGAGTCCCGCCATGCTGAATATTTAGGCTCCAACATGGTTTTGAAGGGACTCCAACATTCAGACTACAGAAATAACACCAATGGCCTGAGTTAAAATTGCTTGTGGGCTGATGAAATGCTCAGCTGGTGAAGGCATTTGCCACCCCACCCATCCCAGTGTCCTGAGTTAGATTTCCAGGACCCATAGTAGAAGGAGAGAACTGATGCTAGCCTGCACAGGCGTGCACATGCTCACACACACACACACACACACACACACACACACACACACACACAAAATAAGTAAATGAGCTGAGGGTGGTGGCACATGCCTTTTAATCCCAGCACTTGGGGGAATGGGGCAGAGGCTAGTTTGGTCTACATAGCAAGTTCCAGGCTAGCCAAGGATACACAGTAAGACTGTCTCAAAATAAAGTAGTAAAGTAATAAAAAATAAAATAAAAATTGTACGTTTAGCCGGGCGGTGGTGGCGCACGCCTTTAATCCCAGCACTCGGGAGGCAGAGCCAGGCGGATCTTGTGAGTTCGAGGCCAGCCTGGGCTACCAAGTGAGTTCCAGGAAAAGGCGCAAAGCTACACAGAGAAACCCTGTCTCGAAAAATCCAAAAAAAAAAAAAAAAAAAAAAAAAAAAAAATTGTACGTTTGTTTACTAATTTTGAAAAGTCCAGAAAATAAAGTCTGACTTAATGCTTGATGGCAATAACGTTGGTTTTAACAAAACACCAAGTATTGTTATCCAGAAATTATCCAAGATTGTTATCCAGAAAGATCATACATTTGCAAGCACGTGTAGACTGGGGGATGATGAGCCAGAGCCACACTGCACTCTGGACATGCATCCTCCAGCAGGGACGACCTTACCACCACACTGTCTCCCTTCCGGCCCCAGCTCAAACTCCAGTGCCTCTGTCATGGATGCCTGTGCGGTGTATCGATTTGTGTTGATTTCTTCTCTCGTCATGCCTTGCCCCTTTTCACCAGGCTCCAGGCCAGCCTGGTCTGCCCAGGCTCTGCTCAGTCTGCCATGATGGCAAGAGGCTAGGATGCTGGGTCTGGCTTCCCTGTGGCCCTGCCCTTCATTCTGCTGCCAGTTTACTCTCTGATCGGCCTCCACCCTGCTTAGCAAGCTCCACAGGCTTCCTGCTTCCCCCAGAGAGCAGAGCTCAGCCTCCCTCCATCCCAACCTAGCCCCGTGGCCAGCTTTCCCCTTCCTGTGTGCCTTCTGTTCCGATTATTGCTGCTGCTATGGAATAGCCCCAGTTTTGTGACAGAACAACATCTGTTGTGGTCACCATTCACAACCTGGGCAGAGCTCAAAGAGACAGCTCATCCCTGCTTCATGAGACTACAACTGAGATGTCACATGAGGCTGAAAGGTTGACATCCAAGGTGGCCCACCCAGGTGACCCATCTACCCACCGCAAGGCTGGTGAGTTGGTCCCTGGCTCTTGGTTTCTCTCCACAGATGGCTTGGGCTTCCTCACAGTATGGTGGCCTGGTTTCTGGTGCTCTGCAAGGACCTTGTCTCCAAAGCCACGTGCTGTCACTTTAGCAGTGACATGGGGCTATGGGGTATTCCTGACCTGAAGGGAGGGAACAGCAACCCTGGTTTCTCATGGGAACCACGTCAAAGGTTCAGTGGCAGAAGCACATGGGGAGAGAGGAGAGGTGTGGCCATGCTATCTGTGAGGCAGGACTCTCAGAGGAGCAGGGCCAATAGAATATATATATATATATGTATATATATATATATATGAATGTGAATATGAATATAATATGTATTCATCTATTCTAGGAGGGGTTTATTAGATTGCCTTATAGGATCCCAGCTGCGTGCTAATGTAGGTGCTAAGGACCAGGACTCCTCAGCAATCCCACTCTGGACCGCAGGCATGGGAGTCCCTAGAACAAAGAAGTGGGTCCTGATGTCACGGTGTGTGTGTGTGTGTGTGTGTGTGTGTGTGTGTGTGTGTGTGTGTGTGTGTGTGTGTGGTGGAGGGGATGGGCTCCTTCAGGGAAAACAGGAAGTGAAGGGAGGCACAGGTTTCCTCTTGACTTCTTCAGATCTGGGTTGCCCTTTGGAGGGGGAAACCCACATTAAGGGTGGTTCTGTACCGCCTCTGCCCACAGCATCCTCTGTGGAAACACCTCACAAACAGGTACCATTTATGGGTACTAGATGGCTCTTTAAAAACAAACAAAGTTTTTTTTTTTATTACTATACCTTTATGTGTTTGTTTGGGGGTAGGGTGTGTGCACGCGTGCCATGGTGCCCATGTGGAGGCAGGGACAACTTGAGGGAGCTGGGAGCTGGTTCCCTGGGGATGAAGGATGGCCAGAGCACAGCAAACAGGGCAGGGGAGCCTCCCACCACGTGTATCCCCAGGATCAAAGTCCTCATTAGCCTTGGTGACAAGCACCCTTACCTACTGACTCTCTCTCCTTTTCCAAATCTGTTTTTTGGTTGTTTTTTTTTTTTTTTTTTGGTTTTTCGAGACAAGGTTTCTCTGTGTAGCTTTTTGCGACTTTCCTGGGACTCACTTGGTAGCCCAGGCTGGCCTCGAACTCACAGAGATCCGCCTGGCTCTGCCTCCCGAGTGCTGGGATTAAAGGCGTGCGCCACCACCGCCCGGCTGGTTTTGGTTTTTTTTTTTTTTTTTTTTTTTTAATACATGATATCTTTGGCTTCCCTGAAACTCACTCTGTAGACCAGGCTGGCCTTGAACTCAGAGATTTATCTGCCTTTGCCTCCTGAGTGCTGAGATTAAAGGTATGCACCATCATACCTGGCTCTTTAAAAAAAATATTGGACATTTATTAATATCATTCTCTTATGTGTATGAGTGTTTTGCCTGCATGTGTGGCTGTGTGTCATGTGCATGCCTGGGGCCCAAGGAGGCTATTAAAGGACATCAGATCCCTTGAAACTGGAGTTACAGATGGTTGTGAGTCACCGTGTGGGTCCTGGGGATTGAACCTAGGTCCTCTGGAAGAGCAGTCAGTGTTCTTACTCATTGAGTTGCCTCTCCAGCCCTGATACTGAGCCATCTTCTTGGCCTAAAACGTATGAGGCCCAGGGTTCAATTCCCAGTACCAAAAAATAAATAGATAGAGCTGGGGTATAACTCAGTGGTAGAGCATTTGCCTAGCCTTCATAAGGTTATAGGTTCAAACTCATAGTACCAGCCAAAGTGGGAAAAGAATCAACAAGTGAGTGGAGGTGTGATGGGTTGGGGCCAGGCTCTCTGCAGGCTGTGTTCTTATTGCTGGTCCAGGCTCCCCTGCCCTGTTTGCTGTGCTCTGGCCATCCTTCATCCCCAGGGAACCAGGCCTGATACCTTTCCTTCCTGATCCCTCTGCAATGCAAGGGACCTTGGAGCTCAGGGCTGGGGCTGAGTCCACAGGCTGAGGGTCCCCCATCTGCCTGCTCTGCTGAGTCCTCCAGCCTGCTCAGCCACTAGCCCAGGTTAATAGCTCTCCTCATCCAGCCGCTTAGTGCCATGGCAACAGGCCTGGGAACAGGGGAGTGGGTGGGAGGGCTAGACAGGGCCAGCTGCCTGGAGCTCCTACAGGGCGATCCTGGGCCTGGGAATCCAATCTAGAACTGATGCTCTTGCAGCAGCCTGAGGCCTCCTCCCTGGGCAGCGCATCCCTAGAGAAGTCAGTTTTGGAGGCTGCTACCCTGGTGGTGCCCGCTGAGAGAGGTCAAAGACCCTCCCTACTGGCCACTTCCAATACAGCTATGTAGCCCAATCCCCGCTGCCTCTGCCCCTGTTTCTGCCTTCTGAGTGCTGGGATCATAGGCAGGTACCACTACACTTGGCTTTTGTTTTGTTTTTCAGACAGAGTCTCATGTTGCCCAGGCTGCCCTTGAACTTCTGATCCTCCAGTTTCAACCTCTGGGATTACAGCTGTGCTTCAACACTCCCAGATCTTCTCAATAGCTTCTAGGTGAGCCTTGAATCTATTATTAGTTGAAAATGCAGGGGCTGGTGGATAAAAGCTCTTGCCACAAAGCCTGATGACCTGAGTTCAATCCCTGGAACCCATGTAGAGGTGAAAGAGAGAATTGACTCCACGAAGTTATTCTTGAACCTCCGCATGTGAGCTGTGGTGTGTGTGTGTGTGTGTGTGTGTGTGTGTGTGTGTGTGTGTGTGTACAAAAATAATATTAACAGTATTGGTGGGGGGGGGGGGGCTAGAGAGATGGCTCAGAGGTTAAGAGCACTGGCTGCTCTTCCAGAGGTTCTGAGTTCAATTCCCAGCAACCACATGGTGACTCACAACCATCTATAATGAGATCTGGTGCCCTCTTCTGGCCTGCAGGCACACATGCAAGCAGAACACTGTATACACAATAAATAAATCAATCTTAAAAAAAAAAAAAAAACAAAAAAAAAAAAACAAGGCGGGCGGTGGTGGCGCACGCCTTTAATCCCAGCACTCGGGAGGCAGAGCCAAGTGGATCTCTGTGAGTTCGAGGCCAGCCTGGTCTACAAAGTGAGTTCCAGGAAAGGCACAAAGCTACACAGAGAAACCCTGTCTCGAAAAACCAAAAAAAAACCAAAAAACAAAAAGCAACCCAAAAAAAAACAGTATTGGCACTGGTTCAGAATGGGGGTTGTTTGTTTGTTTTCCAGACAGAGTCTATGTAGCCCTGGCCGTTCTGTAACTCTCCTGGCTGGCCTCGAACTCACAGAGATCCACCTGCCTCTGCCTCCTAAATGCTGAGATGAAAGGAATGAGCCACCACACCTTTTTTCCTTATTTTTTGTTTTTACCCTTCATTTTTAAACTTTTAATAATTTTTGTCGGCCATTTATTGAATGTGTGTGTGGATGTTTTGCCTGTATGTTTGTGCACCACATACATGCAATGCCAGCAGAGGCCAGAAGAGGGCATCAGATCCCCTGAGACTGGAGTTACAGCTGGCTGTGAGCCACCATTGTGGAATTGAAGCTGGGTCCCCTGCAAGAGCAGCCGCTGCTCTTAACTTTCTCAACTTAGGCCAATGCGGTAACTTCAGCTTTCCAGTCCCCACCCTACCCCCTTTTTGGGGACAGGATCTCACCGTGTATCTGAGTGAGTTCAAGACCAGCCTGGGCTATAGGGAGGCCCTGTCACATACAAACCGAAAAAGCAAAGCTCTGTGAGTCTAGCTCCTGAGGCCCTAGTTCAGGCCTGCACTCTCAGAGGCTGAGGCCGGAAGATGGAGAGTGCGAGGCCCGTGTGAGACTGTCTCAAATACCCTGGGGCTGGAGAGGTGGCTCAGAGGTTAAGAACACTGGCTGCTCTTCCAGACAGTTGGATTCCCAGCAGCCACATGGCAGTTCACAACTGCTTATAACTGCAGATCCAGAACAGCTGAAGCCTTCTTCCAGGCTCTGAGAATACCAGGACATACAAGGAAGCAAACACACATATATACCTATATATATACCCATATATACCTAAAACTTTTTTTTTTTTTGAGACAGGGTCTCTCTGTGTAGCCCTGACTGTCCTGGAACTTACTATGTAGACCAGGCTAGACTCAAATTCACAGCGATCCACCTGCCTCTGCATCTGAGCACTGAGATTAAAGGTGCGCACCATCACACCCAGCTTAAAATAGAAATTTTAAAGCATTGTGAACAGCTCCTGTGAGCTGAGATCATTACCAATGACTACTGAAGAGGAAACAGACAGACAGGTTCTGCTGCGTGCAGGCCACCAGCCCAACCCCTGTGTGCGTCCAGGGACGGTTTTCAGGCTCCAGGAGACAAGGACTGGTCTGGTCTCAACGCTTGGGATTCATGCCTTTTCCTGCAGGAAGGGAGGTGGGGAGGGGGAGTGTGAAAACAGATGGAAATGTAATTTTTTAATGACAGCAGCAGATGGTAAAAAGACACAAGAGTGTATTCACACCATGTCGGAGCCGTGTGAGAGCGCCTGGCCCAGCCAGAATGTGCACGGTGGGGCTGTCGTGATGGCTCCCCCGCCAAACCCAGAAGGCGGGCCAGCTGCAGGCGGGAACAGGCCGCAGGGAGGGAGGGGTAGGACACACTGCCAGGCTGTACACAGCCACAGGTGGATGGCAAATACCTGTGGCCACCTGGTGGGATCTGGAGACTGCGCGCTGGCTCCTCCAGACATGGCATTACTTGGAGCACCGGGCTCCAGGTGCCCACGGCTCCCAAAGGCTGGGCTCATGGTAGCTCATCTGCCCCGATGCCCAGTGCTGATGCAATATGTTGTACCCCTGACTCCATCCACGTCAAATTCCTGCAGGAGTGTAGAGAGCAGCTGGGTGGCATAGTGCAGCTGAGTGTAGGGGCATGGTGGCTCATGCCTCTAGTCCCCACACTTGGGAGGCAGAAGCTTCAAGTCTGAGGCAAGCCTGGGCTACATAGTTAGTGAGTTGCAGGCCAGTCTTGGTTACAGACTCTCTCTCAAAAAAAAAAAAATAAGTTAAGACTGGGCTTAGTGGCACATGCCTTTAAACTCCAGCAGAGGCAGGAGGATCTCTGTGAGTTTGAGGGCAGCCTGCTCTACAAAGCGAGTTCCAGGACAGACAGCCAGGGCTGTTACACAGAGGAAACCCTGTTTTTAAAAAGTAAATAAATGAATTAAATGTAGATAGAGAGTGTCATGCTGCATTTCCCATACTCCCGTAATCATTGCTCTTCCAAGGTCAGTTTCAAGTTTTGCTTTAATTAAAAACAGGCTTCTCTCCCGCCCCCTACATTTATTTACTCTGTGTGTGTATAGGGGGGTGGGGTGCCTGCTGTCCTCAGTGTGGAGAACAGAGGACAACTTTGTGGAGTGTGTCCTCTCTTTTCACCTTTAGGTAGGTACTGGGGTTTGGGTTCTGGCTGCCTGCCTTGCACAGCAACCCCTTTTTACCCACTAAGCCATCGGGATAAGCCAATGCCAAGTTTTATTTGTTTGTGTGTTTTTGAGACAGGGTCACATCTATTCCAGGCTAGCCTCCAACTTGCTATGTAGCTGAGGATGCCTTTGAACTTCTGACCCCCTGCCTCCACCTCCAGAGCACTGGGATCACAGGCGTGTGCCTCCCGTCTCAGGGAGGACTTGCCTGTTCTTCTTGAGATTAGGTTGGAGTTGTGGAAGTCGTGGATTGTGAGGGGAGGAAGGTCGGGAAGTAGAGCGTCCATTAAGGGTGACGTCAAAGACATCTGTCGCTGCTCACTGCTGGAGGTGACACTGCAGAGTGACAGCTTTCCCACCACTTTGATCTTTGGAGGGAAGCCCCCAAGAAGAGCCGCACTGACAGGGTGGGCATCAGGAGGTGGCTCCCAGAGGAGGGGGCCCTGTATGCCACTCAGAAGTATGATTGTCTTGACTCCTTCACTGTTCATCCTCCATGCTAGTGTGGTCCTTGGTATCTGAGACTTGGGCTTATTATCTGACAGCCATTGCTGTTTCCGCTCAAGTAGGTCTGGCTTTCCCGGGAGCAAATTCTGCTGAGTCCTGTGTCCCTGCAGCATGTGCCCAGCAGGGGACTTGTGTGGGTCTCATCTCACCCAGGGACCAGATTCTCATACTCTTCTCCCAACTGCCCAGACCTGTAATCTACCTTTTGTTTCCCTCTCCCTCTGATTTTCCCCTCCTTTCCTCTGTTCCCTTGGTCCCTTTCTCCTCTCCTTGGTTCCTTTGTTCTTAAGATAGTGGCTTACTGTGTGGCCTGAACTTTTAATCCTCCTGTCTCTGCCTCTTGAGTGCTGGGGTGATTGGCATTCACTACCTTACCTACCTTCATTCTCCAAGGAAGCCTAGTTCCACATCGTGGACAACAGTGGAGCCAAGCGCTGGTGTTCTTGGCCCTCTAGTGGACAGAGAGGGAACTGCATTGAAGAGTTGCCCCACCCCAGTTCACCCCATTCACAACTGCCAAGTCAAATACCTTGTGAGTATGTGCAATTCAGCAACTTCTAGTAAATTTACAGAGCTGTGTAACCATTACCATCCACCAATTCCAGAACAATTCTATCACAACCTCCAACAAAGAGTGAGTACCATTAACACCATCAACAGTCTTTTGTTGTTGTTGTTGTTGTTAATTAGCCTTTTTATTTATTTATTTATTTTTTTCAATTGAAGCTCCCTTACTGGTCCTGCTTCCATGAGCGGCCGAGAACAAGGGAAAGCTGGTGCAGGGAGGGTCATTTCCACATTTCATTTACACACAGAACTAAACAGACAAGCATAGAGTTAATATTGTGGTTAGAAGTTGACAGCATGAGATGGGATGGGGGAACATGAGGAGTAGGGGCGTCGTTAAAAAAAAAGCAGGCTCCCCCCAAACTGGGTGCCTGGGAAGGGACTTGGTCCGCTTCAACCCAAGAGGAATCAGAAGATAAAAGCAGTTTGGAAAGGCTAGAACTGTCAGGTGGCGGCAGCAGGATGGTCCAGTGGGTGGGGGTGGGGGGACATTTGGCAACTGGGGTGAAGGGATTACCCTCCCCCTGCTGGGATCCCCCCAGCCCCTCCAGTCTGGCAGGAAAGGGGCAGCCTGCAACACCCAAGAGCAGGTCTGGGGCTGCTAGACTCTCCAGGCAGGGGGCTGGAGGCGGCTCACAAAGGCTTGCCCTCCAGAGAGATCACAGCGCTGCCACCTAGTTTTTCTGCCAGGGTGCAGCGTCCTTGACCGCCTTGTAGCAGTCGGCTTGTGATTCATACTTGATTCCTGTCAGCTTCTTGATGGCATCCTTGGAGCTGACATAGATCATTTTGTTCTCTGCACTCTCAGAGGCCCAGAAGATGAACACCAGGTCCTCCTTGCTCTCCTTGGTCTGGTAGGTTGAATCGTAGAGAGCATAATGGCAGTCCTTGTCTGGCAGCATCTTGACAAAAGTGGTGTAGGGGTCGTCCACAGTCTGCCTCACATCTCCTACCAGGATCTCCTTGCCCTCCTCCAGGATGATGCTCTTGTCCTCACTCAGGCAGAAGAGCACTGCCTTCTTGCGTTTCTTCACTTCTTCTGGCGTTGAAGACTTGTGCACTTTCATATCATTGAACACCTTGACGACACCATCGGAGACAGCCACACCAGAGGCCATGTTTCCAGGAAGTGAAAGGGAGACAGGGAGAGCTCCAGAAGAACTGAGCCACTGAAGCTGCTGCCGGGATCCGACTGAACCCCCCAACAGTTTTATTTTCCCTTCCTCATTCCTGACAACTATGAATCTTTCTGTTGCTAGGGACCTGCCTGTTGTGGATGCATCGTTGAAGGAAATCACACTGCACAGACTTCTGTGTCTGGTTGCTGCTGCTTTTTATCATTTTATCTTCTGTGTAAGAGCATTTTGCCTGCCCATATGCCAGTGTACCACATGTGTGCCCAGTGCCCATGGAGGCCGGAAGAGGGCTTCAGTTCCCCCAGAACTGTAGTTACAGATGGCTGTCAATCACCATGTGGGTGCTGGAATCAAACCCAGGTCCTTGGGAAGAGCATAACCGCTGAGCTGTCTCTCCAGTCCTATGTGTGGATTTTTTTTTTCCCCTACTCAACATCTCAGGTTTTAGGCTTTTTTGTGTGTTGCTTGTTTTTGTGTGTAGTTATGTTTGTATGTGTGCAGGTGCATGTAAACATGTGCACACATGTGGAGACCAAAGAACAACCCCAGTGCCACTCCTCAAATGCTGCCCACCTTGTTTGCTTTTGAGAGAGGGTCTCTCATCACCCTGGAGCTTGCCTCAGTCATATAGGATGCCAGTCTAGTGAGAAACAGGGATCTACCTACCTCTGCCTTCCCAGAGCTGTGATTTCCAGTGTGTGCCATGCCTGGCTGTTGTTGTTGTTGTTTTGAGACAGTGTCTTACTATGTAGCCCTGGCTGTCCTGGAACTCACTATGTAGACTAGCCTGGCCTTGAACTCACAGAAATCTGCCTGCCTCTGCTTCCCAAGTGCCTGGATTAAAGATGTGCACCACCACACCTGGCTTCCTGGTCCCCATGATTGTATGGCAAACACGTTATCAACGGAGCCATTATGGAGACATCATAGAGGTTTTTGGTTTGTTTGTTTTATTTTTTAAAATTAATTTGTATTTTATGGATATTTTGCCTGCATATGTTATGTCTATGTACCACTCGGCAGCCTGGTTCTCACAGAGGTCAGAAGAGGGGCCCTCTGGTTCCCTGGAACTGGAGTTAGAAACAGTTGTGAGCCATTTGAGTGCTAGGAATCAAACCATGGTCAACTACAAAAACAAGTGCTCTTGCTGGGTTATGGTGGCACACACCTTTAATCCCAGCACTAGGGAGGCAGAGGCAGGAGGATCTCCCTGAGTTCAAGGCCAGCCTGGTCTACAGAGCGAGTTCCAGGACAGGCTCCAAAGCTACACAGAGAAACCCTGTCTCAAGAAACCAAATAAATAAATAAATAAATAAATAAATAAATAAATAAATAAGTACCATCTCTCCAGCCCCTGATTTTGGTGTTTGTTTGATTGTTGATTTTTTAATAATTTATTTTTTTATGTGCATTCATGTTTTGCCTGTGTGTATGTCTGGGTAAAGGTGTCAGATCCCCTGAAACTGGAGTTACAGGCAGTGATGAGCTGCCATGTGGATGCCGGGAATTGAACCCAGGTTCTCTGGGAGAACAGCCAGTGCTCTTAGCCGCTGAGTCGGCTCTCCAGGCCCTATCTGATTGTTTTTGCCAATCTCATGATGGATCCCTGGCTGGCCTGGAACTTTCTATGTAGATGAGGCTGGCCTTGAACTCAGAGAGGTCTGCTTGCCTCTGTCTCCCCAGCACTGGATTACCAAAGATGTGTACCACTGTGCCAGGCTTATTGTTTGTTTGTTTGTTTGTTTGTTTCTGATACAGGATCTTACTACATAACTCAGGCTGGTCTGGGACTGGCTATGTAACCTAGAGTGGCTTTCAGTTCACAGTCCTCCTGCCTCAGCCTCCGGTGTGCTGGGATTGCAGGCATGTGCTGAACCAGCATCGTGTTTGGGGGTTTATCTGTGCCCTGATGTGCAGTAGCTGCTTTGGGCTGAGTATAGTCCTCGTCATGGGTTAGCCACTCTTTCTCCCTCTGTGTATCTGCGGCCCTAAGTTGGTCGCACCTGCATTTTGGGTATTATGAAACTCACTGCGATAGAGAGACGAGTGAAGCATCCTGGCACCCCCACTCTGTAGCGCATAAAGTGCATGCAGTCTCATCCATGCCCCACTAGAAGCCCGGTGGCCACTCAGTAGCACTGCCTCTGTTTTACAGGAAAAGACACCCTATCTGTCTGCTCTCCGCCCCGCCCTCCCCTCCATCTCCCAGCTCCACTGCCTGCTCTCCGCCCCGCCCTCCCCTCCATCTCCCAGCTCCACTGCCTGCTCTCCGCCCCGCCCTCCTCTCCATCTCCCCCTCCTCTCCATCTCCCCCTCCTCTCCATCTCCCAGCTCCACCACTGTCTGCTCTCCGCTCCGGCCCTCCTCTCCATCTCCCAGCCCCTCTCTACAGTACTTTCTTTGCCTTTGCTCTTTTAGAGACTGTGCAAACCAGGAAGTGAAGCACAGCCAACTTGGGAACACAAATATTTGCCAGTCAAGAAAACACTCCTCTGTCAATCAAAACCCAGACAAGCTGGCACACAGACTCTGTAGGAGCGGGAGGCAGCTTCTGTTTTGGCATGGTCCAGGTGGCTGATGGCTTCTCCTCTGAATGCACCCCAAGCTTCTTCCATCCTCAAAAGAAGATGCGGGAACCGAGGCTCCGAGTAGTCACTCAGCATCCAGTGACCTTTATTTCTTTTGAGAATATTCGTGTGAATTCATAACCTCATGAAGGGGACAGAGGGTTTGCAAGTGACAACTTCCAACACAGAGAAGCAGCAGACAGGCTTCCAGGCCGTGGGGGTGGGCGGAGCTTAAGCATGGCTTTATTACAGCTTCCCAGGGTCCCTGCAGGGAGCAGGATACAGCCCAGTCAGGGGCCACAGCTGAGATGGAGCAAATTTTCTGCCTGGCTACAGAAACCCAGGCTGCACCTCCTTTATGCTGTGTGTGTATGTGTGTGTTTTGCTGGGATGGAATCCAGATGTCTTAGTTTTCTATTGCTGTGATAAGACACCATGAACAACTCAAATTATAAAAGCAAGTATTTAATTTGGGGTTCAGATGAGGGTTAGAGTCTGTGGCCATCACAGCGGAGAGCATGTCAGCAAGCAGGCAGGCAAGGCGCTGGAGCAGAAGCAGAGAGCTTCCATCCTCATCCACAAGCATAGGGCAGAGAGAGCACACTAGGGATGGTGGGGCTTTTGAAACCTTAAAGTCCACCCCAGTGTCACACCTCCTAATCCTTTCCAAACAGTTCCACCAAAGGGGGCGTGGGGATGGGTATAGAAGTTGGGGGGACTAAGGATTCAAGTCTATGAGCCTATGGGAGCCATTCTCATTCAAACCACTGCAGCAGGACCCTGCATGTGGGAGGTCACTGTTCTATCACAGAGGTACACCCCCACCCTTGGGTTTCTTTATTTTTGAGATAGTAAATGCTGCATGGCTCAGGCTGGCCCCAACTAAGACCCTCTGCTTCCACCTCTGAAATGCTGAGATAGATTACACCTCATATCTGGACCTCATGGTGAGGGTTTCAAACTCGGATCCAGCCCCTCGTGCCCTTACCAGTTGTAGACTAACCTCTCCCTGTGAGCTACCCTGGTCTGCTGCCACCCTGATGGAGTCACCCGGCTTATAGGGCTTATTATAGTTTCAGCTGTTCTCACCAGACTCCTGACTCAAAACTCCCCTTGCAGGGTCATATTAACATGGAGACTTTCAGGGATTTGAGTGTTGCTGGCTCACCTAGGTCCTCTGTACAGAAGGCTTGAGGGCATCAGGTTCTGGGGTGTAACTCAGTGGAAGAGGGTGTGATTAGCATTTTTGAGGACTAGGGTTCAGTTTTCACAACTGCAACGATAAAACGTTTGCGAACTTGTCCTTGCCGAGGTCTCACCTGATGTTTGGCTTGCTAAAGCTATGATTCTGGGTCCTGTCCCAATGGATCTGAATGGAACAGACAGGGAAGTCGCATTTTCATTGCTTATTAACCCATGTTCAGAAAGGGCAAAGACCGTAAAATTAAAGGGAAGACCCTTCCCTCATGATGGTGTCTGTGTGGACCTGTTAGCCATGTCCCAGCACCCGGAGCTGAGTTTGGGATGAATGTGTTTATTCCTGAATCTGCGCCTAGCGCAGGTGAAGACAAGGTCCCAAACATCTACCCTTTTAGCGGAGGCAGGCAAGTGACTTGAGTTTGCGGCCAGAGGCCGCAAAGGAGCGGGTTGCCGCAGGTGCACCGCCTCCTGCGGGCCGGTAGGGAAAGGGACGGGCACAGGAGGGGCGGGGCCATAGGAAGGAGAGGCGGGGCCAGAGGCGGGGCCGTGCTTCAGGGGCGGGGCCATGAGCGTGACAGGCGGGCAAGAGGAGGAGCCGTGTGCGGCCTGACGAGGGGGCAGGTCCGGAGACTAATAAAGAAGAGGGGACAGGGCTAGCGGCGGGGCCTGGAGAGGATAAAGACGCAGCAGGGGTGGGCTAGCGGGGGAGTAGTTGTAACTCACGAGACCGCTGAGCCAGGATTAAGCATGGAGCCCGCGGACAGGAAAGGGTATGGGTAATCCGTAGGAGGGCGTGGCCATATTATAATTCTGGGCAGGGCTTGAGTGCAGCCTCGCTCTGACCGACCAATCCACGGGCTCGTACCAGCTGCGGATTCCTCCCGAGGCTGCTAAGATTGCATCGTCTCTATAGGTCGCCGCAGGCCGTCTTCCGGCCGGGGGGCGGGCCCCGCGCAGTGGCGGGAAAGCCGCGGCCCAGGCGGGGCGTCTGAGACGCGGAGGGGTGGGAACGTACTCTTCATCATGGACGCAGCCGAGGTGGAGTTTTTGGCCGAGAAGGAGCTGGTGACCATCATCCCGAACTTCAGTCTGGACAAGATCTACCTGATCGGGGTGAGGCGGGCGGGACGGGGCTGCGGCCGTGGGGTCACGGACAGGTCACCGCTCCTTTCCACCTGGGGTCTGCGTTGTCCTTGCAGGGGGACCTGGGGCCCTTCAACCCCGGCTTACCCGTGGAAGTGCCCCTGTGGCTGGCCATTAACCTGAAACAGAGACAGAAGTGCCGTCTGCTACCTCCAGAGTGGATGGATGTGGGTGAGCATTCCCGGGCCCGGTGGGCGGGCTTGTCCCTGATCTGCCTCCTTCCTCGGTTCCTGGCTCCCGGACAGCCGACAGCAGTAGCTGTTCCAGTGGCTCGTTGGTGTGGAGTGTTTGTGATGCGTCTAGTTCCTATTTGGATTTTAGATATTTAGCTAGCCTTAAAATCAAAGATGTGGGCCCGGCGAGATGGCTCAATAGGTAAGGGCACTTACAAGCAAAGCCTAAGAATCTGAGTTCGATCCCTAAAATCCACCGCGGGAGGAGAGAACGGGAGGAGCCCCGCCGTTGTCCTCTGACTTTCCTATGCACTCGACTGCACACAATAATAATACATTTTAATTTAAAAATGGAGTAGAGATTCAACTTTTAAACAAGCATTTTAAAATTTTTCTTAGTGTTTTTTGTTTGTTTGTTTGTTTTGTTTCGAGACAGAGTTTCACTGTGTAGCCCCGGCTGTCCTAGAACTCATTCTGTAGACCAGGCTGGCCTCGAACTCACAGAGATACAACAAGTTTTGTTTTAATTAAGTATCGGCATGCTGGGAAATTCTGTTCCAAAGACTGTGAAAATAGTGTGTCACTGTGTGGTTAGTTTTGTCAAACTGATACAAACTCAGGTCACCTGGGAAGAAGGAACCTCAACTGAGAAATTACCTCCATCCTACCGGCCTGTGAGTATGTCTGTGGGGCGTTTCCTTGGTTAATGATTGAAATGGCAGGGCCCAGCCCACCATGGGTGTTGTCAACCTTGGGCAGGTGGTGCTGAGTTGTATAAGAAGACAGGCAAGGCAGTCAGCAGCCTTCCTCCGTGGTTCCTGTCTCTGTTCCTGTCCGTCACAGTGATGGACTGTGATCAGGCCAAATAAACTCCTTCCTCCCCAACTTGGGCAATGGTATTTATCATGGCAACAGAAAAGCAAATTAGGACAGTCACCCTACAATGGGATATTATCCAGCCATGTAAAGGAATGGGCTTCTGATCCATGCTACAGGATGGATGAACCTGGAAAATCGGATGTTGAATAAAGAAGCCAAGCACAAAAGACTTGGAGATTGTATGATTCTGTTTATGTGAACAGTCAGAACTAGGCAGAACTATAGGCACAGAATAGTGACTGCTTAGGTAATGGGGGCTTGGGAGGGAATGGAGGGGTTATGTTTTTTTTGGGGGGGGGATGGAAATCTGAAATTGAATTGATGGTTGCACAACTCTTTGTTAAAAACCCTTTGTACAGTTGGAGTCAGAAGTGTGTGGTAGATTAAAGATGCCTGTGAAGATGTTAGGGAAAAGAAGTCAACCATGAGCCTTCGCAGTCTTTTTAATTGGTGGGAGAGAGGTATATAGAGTTTGAAGATCCCCAGTGAGCTTGGCTGGAGTCACCTGAGAAGACCTAGAAGAAAAGGCTTAGTCATGGTTCGTTTTGTTATCAACTTGACAGACACACTTGGGAACAAGCACCCTCACTTGAGACATCATTTCCATTAGATTGGCCTGTGGGCATGTCTGTTGGGCAATTTCTTGTTGGATGTAGGAGGGTCCAGCCCACTGTGGGCGGTCCCACCCCTAGGCCGGTAGTCCTAGCCTGTATAAGCAAGCAACCTGAGCCAGCCAATAAACAGTCTTCCCTTGTAGTTCCTGTTGAGTCCCGACCCTGACTTCCCTCGTTGGTGGACTTTGATAAGTAAGCCAAATAAACCTTTTCATCCCCAGTTTGTTTTTGGTCATGGTGTTCATCATGGCAAAGGGAAGCCAACGGGGAGGCTATTTAAACCAGGCTAGTCAGAGAGAGGTGCTTGAACTTAACCTGTGTTAAGGAGTGGATGACTCTGATAGTCCTGAAACTGGGGACCCCAGTTCCTGTGCCTCAAGGGGCACCCTCTAGGCCTGAATCCATTAGAGACCCATTACTAGTTTCAGCTGGCCCAGGCCCAAGGTTAGAGAGACGTGCAGAGTTCTGTGCTTTTGTGGTCCAGGTGAGGAGCAGTTAGACGGTGCTGGTGCCGGGAGCCCATGCAGGAGGCCTGTCTGCTCTGGGACTTCATGTCCATAGAACGATGTCGTGTGCTATGCTGCTCTGGCTTCTCTGGTGGATGTGTGGTTTGCAGTTGACCTTCTGACCACATGGGTCATCACCTTGTTCTCCTGCCTAGGTGCTCCCTCTGTGAGTACTCTATGCCTCTGCTCACCTGTTCTGCAGGTATTTGGGTTACTTGCCATTTATAAATAATTTTTTTATATGTATGGGTCATGTGCATCACATGCATACAGTGCCTTTAGAGACTAAAAGACTCTATCTGATCCCCTGGAGCTGAGGTTGTGAGCTGCTGCATGAGTGCTGGAATCAAAACCCAGGTCCTCTGTAGGAGTAGCAAGTACTCTGAATTGCTGAGCCATCTCTCCAGCCCCCTCTTTCCTAGTTTTAAAAATCATCATTGTGGAATACCACAAGTGTAATTAATATCATGAGGGTAATTAAAAAAATAAATAAAATATAAAAAAATCATCATTGTGTCTGTGTGTCTGCACATGTGCCATGGCACACACGTGAGCAGAGGACAGCTTGTTAAGGAGTCAGTTCTGCCCCATGCTTGCTATGTAGTTAAGAATGGGCTTAAACTGCTAATCCTCCTGCCTCCATCTTCCATGTTGCTGAGTTATTTTTCTTGGGCAAATAGATACTGCCTGTTGGGGACTTGGGCCACAGGACAGATGATGCTTAAGTTTTAAGAAGCTGCCAGCCAGTCCTGCTGAGTGTTGAAACATTAGAATTCCAGAGTAATGTAGATGAGATCACATTGTCCCACATCCTGGCCAGAGGGTTGGCATTGCCAGTCTTCCTGATTGGTGAAGACATTGAACAGATGTGTTTTGTTATATGATTCAAGGGTAGAAAGTAAAGTAATCCCGTGCAGGGGTTCAGTTCAGTGGCGGACTGCCTGCCTGGCATGCATGAAGTGTGCAGGAAGAACCGAATCACTGCTTTCATGGAGGTGGGCTGAGGCTGCTTGCAGCTGGCCTGAGTGCTTTCTAGGGAGTGGTAGCAGGCTATCCTGAAGGTCTGTGTGGAGGAGAAAAAAGAAGAGATGGTGCTAAGGCATGCCCAGCTGTGGCTGGAGGCTCAGCTCTTAGATGGAATCACTGTTTTCTGAGGTTGGCAGAGCACAGGGCAGTGAGGAGGCCCAGGGTGTGGTCTGAGCCTGTCGTCTTGGGGATGCTGGATCGCTGTCCAGGTGCAAGTCATGTGAACAGTGGGACATAGAGGCAGGAGTTGGAGAAGTACTCCAGGTGTGCTAGGTCTCCACTTGGGCAGGATGAGATGGCTGGAGTTTGAGCCTAGGGTGTGGAGAGGACTCACCCACTGAGCTCTGGACCCCAGCACTGAGAGGTCACAGGGAATTGGCTATAGGCACTAATAGAGGGAAGTTAGGTCAGAAGAAGGTTCAGGGGTAGTGGTGACATCAGACGCAGCATCCGTCCCGAGAGGTGCTCGCAAGACATCTAGTCTAAGATATGAATACCCCACATTGTTTTTATGCACTGCACTTGCTTACTGGCCATGTAGGCAATACCAGTGCCTGGTCAGATTGTAAGATTAAAAATGTTTTCTTGGGGCTGGAGAGATGGCTCAGTGATTAAGAGTACTGACTGCTCTTCCAGAGGTCCTGAGTTCAATTCCCAGCAGCCACATGGTGGCTCATAACCATCTCTAATGGGACCTGGCGCCCTCTTCTGGCATGCAGGCATACATGCAGGCAGAACACACACACACACACACACACACACACACACACACATATACAAATTTCAAAACAAAAAACGCTTTCTCAGCTGGGAGGAGTGGCACACGCCTTTAATCCCAGCACTCTGGTGGCAGAAGCAGATGGATCTCTGAGTTCAAGGCCAGTCTGGTCTACAGAGCAAGTGTCAGGACAGCCAGGGCTACACAGAGAAACCCTGTCTTGAAAAACAAAACAAAATGTGTTTTCTCTCTGTTATGGTGATGGTGAAACGCACTAACCTCTATGTTTCAGAGAAATTGGAAGAGTTGCGAGATCAGGAGCGGAAGGAGGAGACATTCACCCCAGTGCCCAGCCCACACTACATGGAGATCACCAAGCTCTTGCTGAATCAGTGAGTCAGCCCACGAGGCAGTGCATGCCCTCATATAGGTGACCTGGAGGAGGTGTCTCCATGCAGGGGGACTAGGCTATCTCTCTGTTCTCTTCTGTTCCTTCTCTCCCCACCTTGGATTCTGTACATTCTAGGCCTGTCACTTGTCACTGGATTGCAATGTAGCCACTGTCGCTCCAGCAACAGTCGTTTCTGGAACTGCACATTAGTCCAACTGAGTGAAAGTGTATGGATCTGGGTTCCCTGTGTCTGTCACACGAGTGGCCAAGGGCCTCATGTGGGCCTTGGTCTTGAGCTATAGAGATGTGCCCTGGCAAGCTCTGGGTTTATGCACCCACATCTGCCCCAGCTCTCTGTCTTCTGGATCATTCCTCATGTGGTGGCCAGGTTGCTTGGTGCTGCCCTGTCTGCAGCTTCTAGCTTCAGTCTTAGGTCAGGTGCTCAGAGCAGTCACAGCTGGCAGGTGTTCCCGCCCCCTTCTTTCACAGCCCTCCTTTGCTCTGTCTGTAGGTTTATGATCCCCGGGGATCTGCAGACCAGGTTTTGTTTGTTTGCTATGGGATCGTGCTAGATTGCTTAAACTGGTTCTGAGCTCCGGGCTTTAGTGGTCCTCCTGCCCCAGCTCCTCCTGGCCTAGTAGTGTCTGCAGAGCTCTGCCCTGGCATTTGCTACAGTACAGTTTTGTAGTCTTCTGTCTGGCTGTGCCATTATGCAGCCTGTACTGGATGGGCAGGGACTGTCCCCACACAGGCCTCAGACAGGTTTGTTGACTGAAATCGGTAGGTGCTCAAACGTAACTCAGTGAGCATCCAGCTAGACTGTACCTCTCGGCTGGTTCGAGAGCAGAACTGTGCGGTCCTCTTAGAGCAGCTGGACAGTAAGGCTGTGTGTCACTGCTTTGTCTAAAGGTGAACTCAGGAGGGATGGGAGGCTGAGGCTCACTCATTCCTTCCTACAATATCCTTACTGTTCTGAACATAGTCACATGGGCCTGAGTTCCTATTTGGGTAGGGAAACAATGTGACCCTGTGAACTGGTCATGAAACTGCTGCACCATCAGTGCCTTTGGGAATCCTTGGGGCATAACAAGGCCTGGGGAGGCCAGAGAAGGCATTTAAGGAACGCCAACTTGAACAGAACAGCAGACCGTCCTGAGGAGCAGGGAGAGGGCAGCAGTGTGGGAGGAGCTGGAAGGTACTGTGGTTCCGTATGCTTGAGGGTATGGGGGTTGGGGGGGGTACACGATGGGCCGTGGAGACACAGATTCTGTGGTGATGGGGAGGCCAAGGGAGATGTGGTGTCTTCAGGGGTCTGAGAGAGACAGGTAGTCTAGGAAAGGAGAGAATCTTGATGCATGACTAGGAACCAGGCTGGTGCTACCAGTATAGAGGACTGTTTCTTGGCGTTCTGTGTATTATGCACTCTACCAAGAACCTTATTGTTGTCCGGGAAGGTGTGGTAGCACACTCTTAATTCCATCACTGGGTGGGGATGGAGGGTAGAGACAGATGAATATGAATTCTAGTTTGGTCTACTTTAGGAGTTCCAGGCCACCCAGAGCTATACAGTAAGATTGAGTCTTTTAAAACAACAACAAAAAACAAAACCTTACTGTGTAATTTATTTAGTTAAAGGAACCAAATTAAAATTTTTTTAGCTGGACGGTGGTGGTGCACATCTCAGTACTCAGAGCCAGAGGCAGTCAGATTTCTGAGTTCAAGGCCAGCCAGGGCTACATAGAGAAACTCAGGCTAGGGAGAAAAAAAAAAGCAACAAAACCCCCCACAAAACTAAATAAACTAAATAAAATATAATAGAATTAGAAATTTAAAAGGACATTCCTTTTGTGGATACATTCAGAGGACACTTTCAGGAATTGGTTCTCTCCTTCTATCATGTGGGTTCCAGAGATTGGATTCAGATTGTCAGGTTTAGCCGGATACCTTTACCTGCTGAGCCATCTCGATGGTCCAGGAACCCAGTTTTACTTTGCTCTGTAGTTCACTTGATAAGGATCTGGAGTTCTTTGTCTTCTTCTTCTGTTCAGAGCGGAAGATCTGAACGCTTGTGTTCATAATTCAGTTCATACACTCTGTACTGCAAACCCGCCTGCCTCTCCTGAGCTGACTGGCACAGGGAGAGCACCTAGTGATGGCTACATGAGTCCGTCTGCCTCTGTCTTGTGTGAACTTCTTTCTTCAAAGGCTGCCTTCAAGTATGTCGTAAAGGAAAGTTGTTACAACTGCTGACCTTAAACTCTCTGTGGACACCGGCTGCTTTGAGACTTTCCTCCGCTCTGTGAGTTTTGTAACCTGTGCTCCCCACAGCGGCAGTCCTGTCTCTCAGCCTTTTGTGAGGCTAGAGATGCACTTAAAGGGCTTAGCACAAAGCTTGCCCTCTTCTTCCCTGGTGGTGCTGGGTAGTGAGCCTACGTCACCGTAAAAACAGGGATCTGCTGAACTAGCCAGCTATGAGATAGTTACACAGCACAGGGTGGTGTTACCCTAAAGGGAGTGTCCCATCAGCACAATCTTCCACTATTCTTTTTTTTTTTTGGTTTTTCAAGACAGGGTTTCTCTGTGTAGCTTTGCGCCTGTCCTGGAACTCACTTGGTAGTCCAGGCTGGCCTCGAACTCATAGAGATCCGCCTGCCTCTGCCTCCCGAGTGCCGGGATTAAAGGCGTGCGCCACCACCGCCCGGCTTTCCACTATTCTTTTAAAGACATATGTTTGTTTTTAATTACATGTGTATGTCTGTGCGAGGGTATATGCATGTATGTGCCCAAGGAGACAAGAAGAGGGTATTGGAGCTCTTAGAGCTGGAATTACAGGGGATTATAGATCACCCCATGGAGGTTTCTGGGAACTGATTGGGTCCTTTGCAAGAGTATGTGCTCTTAACTGCTGAACCATCTCTAGCCCCCTCCAAAGTGTTATTGTTCTGAAGATTTATTTTTATTGTGTCTGTGTGTCGGTATGTGCATGTGAGTGCATGTGGGTGCCCTGAGAGGCCAGAGGTATGGGATTACCTTGGAGCTGGGGTTAGAGGTCATTTTGCCCCACCTGGCATGCATGCTAGGAACCAAATTGTGTCCCCCTGCAAGAGCACTGTGTGTGCTAACTTCTGAGCCACCTCTAGCCTGTGTTCTTGCTATGGAGTCTCACACCATACTCCATGTCCAGGTATCCTCCTATCTCAGCTTCCTAGGTGCTGGGAGTATAGTCACCACTCCTGACTTTCAGTATTGCTTCACTTTGTTAGATCTGTCATTCTGTGTAGCCACTGACCATGGACAATGAGCATGAATGAAAACACTGGGTGCCAAGCTTACCTGCCACATGCCAACCACCGAGGAAAGAACAGAGCCCAGTACTCTACCAAGTCTGTGCAAGGCTTTTTTCCCTTCCCTCTTTGAAACAGGTTCTAGCTGTGTATCTCAGCCTTGAACTTGTAGTTCTCCTGCCTCAACCTTCTGAATGCTAAGGTTACAGCCATGTGCTAGCACCCCTGGCTCATCAAGCTTTATCTTTAAAGATTTGTTTGTGTGCACGTTTGGATGGGTCTGTGTCTGCCGCAGGTGTTTGGGGGCCTAGGGTTTATAAGCAGCTGTGAGCTGCCTGATGGATGGCCGCAATGGAACTGGAATCCTTAGGAAGAGTGGCCGCACTAATTGCGGAGCTGTTTGGCCTGCCCCCAAGCTATGGTTTTGAAGCAGTGGCCACTTCTGCCTTGTCTTACCAAGTGCCTCTGTGTGTTTTGCCTTTGTCTGTGTATCTTCAGTGCTTCTGACAACATCCCCAAAGCAGACACCATCCGGACACTCATCAAAGATCTCTGGGACACACGCATGGCCAAGCTCCGGGTGTCTGCTGACAGCTTTGTTCGGCAGCAGGAGGCACATGCTAAGGTACGCATGGCCCTCCCGTCCCCACCCTGTGCCAGTGGGCACTGCCAGTCAGTGTGAATGCTTCCAGGGAGTTGTCAGGGCATCCTGCCTGCTCAGCCATGTAAGCAGGGATTTGAAGTTGTGCTTTGAATAATAGCTCATGGGGACCTGGGTAGAGCTTGCCTGGTGTGCCAGGGCACTGGGCTTCGTCCTCAGCGCCCAGGAACAAACAACTCATTGGTGTATAAGCTTCTGTTCAGTTGAGTTTGGCTTTAAGGTCAGAATTTCCTCTACCCATTTGCTTCTGGTTTCAGCTGGATAACTTAACCCTGATGGAGATCAACACGAGTGGGGCCTTCCTCACCCAGGCACTTAATCACATGTACAAACTCCGCACAAACCTCCAGCCCTCCGAGAGCACCCAATCCCAGGACTTCTAGCCACAGGCCTGTGGTGTGCAGACCCTTGCTGTCTGCTGCTGTCAAGCTCTGGACTTAATGGGCACTCAGCTCTGGAAGCATGTGACGGTGGAGAGGGGGGTGTGAACACTGGTGGAAGCCGTGCGTTTGCTACTCACTTCTGTCAGAACTCAGCGAGTTCAGCTTCCACCGAGTGTCGAAGTACCGGCTCTCCTCTCGTGAGGAATGACTTCTCTAAGGAGCACGGACTCCTCTGCATGCCATGCACAGCAACTGTTCAGGCCAGTGTAGTTCAGTGTCTTCAAGTTGGACCTGTGAAAGCTGTATGTAGTTGAGAATTGCGGGGAGGGGTGGTGGTGCTGATATAAAAAGATTTTCCTCTTAACGTGATTTAGAAGATTTTATTTTTTGGGATGTTGTCAGAAATTACAGCAATATATTCATAAATACCTAATTACTACATTCAACAAATAATATTACAATACAGTTAATTCAAACAAGTACACTTAGAACGGGTTTAATTTCACAGCATCTAAACTGCCCCCAGAGTGACCGAGGCACCGTCCTCCCTCCTGCCTGGGTCCACTGCCCGAGCGAGCAGCGAGGCGCAGGGCACACACAAGTACAGAACCAGTGAGATGCCTCCTCAGGTCAAGGCAGCCTCTAGGGTTAAGCACTGGATCAGACAGTGGGGACAGGCTACGGCAAGTAGTGAAGTCAAAGCTTGAGTACTTGAGAGAGTACAGACTGCTGCTAAGTGGCTAACCACACCTCGGAGGTGCGAGCCTGCTGTGCGGGCCATCTCCATGCTGGGTCCTGGATGTCGGGGGTGGGGGTGGGGTGGGGAGGCGTCTAGTTTGCAGTCCAGTTTAACTGAGATCTGGCAGTGCTGTGAGCATGGCTGATTTCCCCAGTTAGGGCAGGGCTCCTTGTAACCCTCTGGGTACCCCAGCAGTACAATCTAGTGTCATGGTACTAGTTGGAGGTCCTTAAGATACCATGCACTGAAGTGTTGACCGTCTTATCTTATCTTAGTCATATCAGTTTGGCTCTAATGATATGCAACCATTTTTTTTTTAAAGATCTGATCAAACATGGAGCCATGGGATCTAACACTGGACTGTCCATCATAAGCTTGGTGAATTCCCAGTCAGGACACAGGGCAGCTATCCCTTGGAGGCCAAGTGGGAAGGCACAGTCAAGGTCTGGGATTCTCATGTACATACTAATTTTACAGTCCATCCTGGAGCAGATCTGTAGTGGAAAGGTTGAAGAGACCTCCGGGGACTATGTGCGGTACCTGGAAGGGTATGCTACGTTTTCAGCTACATATATCAGTGTCTCAGACTATGTGGGATGGGAGAACTATGTGTGTGGTAGAAATGGCACTTGCCTGCCACTTTACTGGCTTGTACCTGGTTCTGATTGTCACTTTACTTGTGAGCACGGGAATATTCAGGGCTTCACAGGTAGGCAAGGGCGTTTGGAAGGGACATAGGCATTGCAGGTCAGTGGCTCAGCTTGTGCCCCAGGCCGACCTGGGAAGTTCTCTCTCGCGTTGGGTCACATACTCAGCCAGGGGAAGTCCTGTGAGATAATGGGAGGGGCTGTGTGCAGTTTTAAGTTATGGGGTCTACTTTTCCCAAAGCCATTACCAAGAAAGCAGATTAGCAAAAGCTTCCAGTCATCACTGTGGAGTTTAGCCTGGGATAGGAACACTAAGGTGTGAGCGCAAGCAGCATTTAATTGGGAACTTGGGTAACACTTTGTCCCAGGGCATGCAGCCTCTGCTCACCTGTAGACCATCCCCAACTGGTTGTAGGGCAGAGGCCTCGGGACCGCCTCTCTCCTGTTGCTCCCATGCCAAGGGAGGTACGTTTTGACTGCTGACAGTACTGGTGCTTGCGTGTCTGAGTTTGCTAATATCTACAAGATTCTCGGCAGGGGGACAGAGCAAACTGGGGGGGTGGGTAAGTGGGGGTGGCTGGTGGGGAGGACCTGCCAGCAAGCTGCTCTGTCCAGCCATTGAGCCTGGTAGGCAAGGGTAGGCTCAGCCTCTTATCCTCATGGAGTGACAGCCACAAGCTGACAGGAAGAGGTTCTCTTCAAGTTAGTTGGTCGACCCTGACTGAGGAGTTGAAACTGGAAAGGAGATTGCTCAGTACGGAGCTCTCTGCCACAGCTGTGCCTGTCACAGGAGCTCAGCTCCCACGGCTTTACCTCCAGTTCCTATTGCATGTGGGTCACTCACGATCTCAACAGCTGACCAGCCCCAGGTGCCCCTCAGCCCCGCTGTATGGGATGCCGCACAGGTGAGCTCTTCTACTTTCTAAAACTTTAGCATTTTAATGTCCTGACCAGCAGCAGCACAAACACTAAAAGCAGGTTGGTTTTTTTTTTCTTTAACCAGAAAAAAACAAAACCGAAAAAAAAAACAAAGGAAACCCCCAAACAGGAAAAACAAACAAAATTCCCCAAACCACATATTAAAAATGGCAGGCTTTTTATAACAATAATTAAAGTAATAAAAACATACAAAACTTTGTTTTTTTTTTTTAATATATACACAGTACAAGGCTGAAGCACCTTTGACTTTTCTCTCAAAACGTATGTTTGTATGAAAACGCCAAACACAGCGGTAGCAATCCAGTGGGTGGGCTATCTGTGGACAGCTCCACTCATCTTCCCCAAGGAAAACAAGGTACCTTCGGGTGTGGGTTTGCCTCTTTTCCCAAGAGCTGTTCCAGGGAGAAGCCTGGACTAGCTCGCGTGCTCCTCGGACGCTGGCTGGCGCAGGAAGGTGACTGATCTGAGCCCTTTGCTGTACACGCCCAGCCTTCTCGCGCAAGTTAGTCTTACTCCTGGGAGGAAGAGGCTAGCTCCCAGGGCCGCAGCAAGGGCGAGCTGGGCTCTTGTGGCACAGCAACACCAGAAACTACCAGCCGGCTCTCCTTCAGCCACATGCATGGTGGGCATCAGGGTAGGAGAAAGAGAACGTGGGGGAAGAAGGAGAAACACCGCCAATCAGAAAGAGAAACTGAGTCTAGCTGAGACAGGTGACTCGATTACACTGGAGTCAAGGTGACGTCCTTTCTGGAGCCTGGAATTCTTCGCTTCATGCATGGCACGTTCTCAATTTGTGAGCTTCAAACCTCCCAGTGAAAAATATTAAATATTCAAGGTAATAAAATAGATAATATTTCTATGCTATAGGTTCAGCCTAGAGCAAGGGAAACCGTCACCTCGGATATCCCTTAAAGTAGCCCCTAGGCCAGTGCATGGTGGGCAAGGCAAGGCACTTCCGTAAGTGGTCCAGCTCCGCCTGGAGCCGCTCCCGCTCCGAGACCATCTTCTGTTTCTGACTCCGAAGCTCCTGTGGAGAAGATGTGCATTAGAACACCACTGGTACGTACGCCAGTGAGTGACCTGGAGACTGCTAGAATGTTCTTCCAGCAACATGTACTCCTAAAGAACCAAACTCTGAATCCCAGGTCTGATCAGCCCTGCACATGTCCCCCTGTGTGGGGGTAGAGGGATACCTTAGTGCCACAAGAACTTTTGTGTGTGTATGTGTGGCCTTGGCTGGCCTTAAACTCTGATCCACCTGCCTCTGCCTCCCAAGTGCTGGGATTGAAGGCATGCACCACCACCCCGCAAAATCTTTTTATTTCTAAAACAGGATCTCACTATGTGGCCCAGACTGGCTTCACACTCGCAGATCTGCCTGCCTCCTGGGATTAAAGCATGTGCTCCCATGCCTGGCATTAAGTTCTGAATTCTGAAGAGCAGACTTCTCTGGGGGTGCCTGACTCACCGCCATGCTGAGAGAGAGCTGTTCCGCAGTCAGGCTGAGGCTGTAGTGCTGCGCCTCCAGCCGCCGGCACTGCGTCTGTAACACCTGCCGCTCCAGGTTTTGCTCTGAAAAGACAAGAGGTGGCCATGCATCATCTTTGTATGAGGCTGCGTGTCTTCAACTGTGCAGTGTGTTCTTAGCTGCGCCAACTGACGATCGAGATGTCTCCACCTCAGTGCAGTGGGGGAAACTAAGTGGATTAATGGCCTTCAGATGTTTTTTGTTTGTTTGTTTTTTTTGTTTGTTTGTTTTTTGTTTTCAAGACAGGGTTTCTCTGTAGTTTTGGTGCCTGTTCTGGAACTTGCTCTGTAGACTAGGCTGGCCTCGAATTCACAGAGATCCGCCTGGCTCTGCCTCCCGAGTACTGGGATTAAAGGTGAGAACCACCACCGCCCTGCTCAGGTGTGTTTTTTAAACCAAGTTGTTGGTGATGATGGTGGAGACAGTTTATGCTGTTAGGAAAGGGCTGGCCTTTTTAATTAGCGAATCTCTGCTTTACCAAGACACTCTACTATACAGAGTGCTCCCGTCAATGACAAATGACCACAACAGACTGACCTTACAAAGCCAGAACAACAAGACGGTCATCAATGACGCAGCAATCAAAGTATGAAAAAGTCACCTCAAGAGGGGAAGATAAACCTGGCAGAGGACAAGCTTAGGTTGTCTCAAGTTCACAACCGAGACAAGAGCCCCACCAGCCAGGTCCCGGGTGATGCAGTAACAGTGGCAGACATGCCTGTTACCTGGGTCAGGCTGTCAGTGCTGAGCACAGCTGGGCCTCCTGTCAAGTGCTGACACAAGCACTCGGCAAAGCTCAAGCCCCAAAGAGAGCCTCGCTTGTGTTGCCATGGAGACTGAACTGCTGAGTTTGAGGGCCAGTTCTCCCATCCCAGGGACAGAGTGAACACCCTAACAGGGTTATTGTCGGGGAGTCAGTTAACAAGATCCTGAGATTCACACAGCTAAGAACAAGCCAGGGTAGTACCACAGGGATACTTCTGCCAGATGCAGATGTATGCCCAGAATGACAAGGACAGCACAGGGAAGTGTCCCAGTGGCCTTCAAAAGACCTACAGTCTCCACACCCCGGATGGGAGCATTTCTCTCTCTACGCCAATTCAAAACTATCTGCGATGCTACTGGGTCCTGTTTCTGCATGCCTTAGAACAGAAACAGGTGCAGGAGCAGTGCACAGCAGACCCAACAATCCCAAAATGCAGGGCAGGAGGAAAAGGCAGCACTTGGGGAGGGGCTCAGGCTACCTGTGTGTCAGTTGGTATTTGCTTCCAAAACACCTTCCAAGGAGGTGTGGTAGCAGATGCAATATTTACAGCTCAGTCACGTGCCAAAACAATAAAGCTAAGGTATGGGAGGAGGTAACCGGCAGCTAGGTTAGGCCAAAGGCAGTGTGGCCCCAAAGGCAGTGCATTGGAGTCTCTGGATGCTGGGGAGACGGGCAAGGGAGTAGTATACATGAGCATGAGAGAGGTGCTGCCCCCACCCGCACTCCCACCCGACTGTGTGAAGGC